TTGTGTTCCTATCTAGGGGTTGCGCAGCGAGGGTAGAAGTAGGGGTTGTTTGGTATGTAGGGGTCACGTGACCGAGGCTACTAGTATTACTGCTTCAACATATCATCACCATGCAGCTCCTCTCCATCCTCCCCATCGCAGCCTTGGCTGGTACTTCCCTCGCAGTACACTGGAACGTGACCCTCTACACCGACACCGAGTGCACCGAATACAAGTGGTCATACGCCGGAAACCAGAGTTACGGGTGTTACTCGCTCGAGACATACAACCCAACCATTCAGTCTATCAGGGCTGAGATCCCCGACGACTGGGTTTTCGATGGAGCAAGTGGCGGCGCTTGCAATAACTTTCACACTTTCGGGGGCTCAGGATGCTGGACTCAGGGTCAGGGATTCAAGTCTTTCCAGGTATACCCGAAGGCAAGCTGAAGTGATGGTGAGTGTGTATTACTTTGGTGGTTTTCATGTCGCTGATTACTGCTTCTCCAGTTACCCAACGTTGATGGAATATAAATGACTCTTTGTTCATGGTATACATGCTACTTATCTGATTTATACTTCAATTATATTTAGCTTTCTTGCCATGCGCTCAGCACTAGGGCTATACTAGTCATGAGCATTTGGTTTTCTATAGCAAAATCACGAGAACCAGGTCTTTGTTGTATCTAGATGAGCTACAATAAAATCTCTTGCTCTGGCAGGATTAAAGCTTCTAGACTCGTTTGTCAAAGTTCCCAGGGCCTTAATGTAGCATGTGAATATTCGCTAGGTCATCCATACGAAGATGTAGGGTCTGTTTGGAAGGCAATAGTATATAGCAAAAGTCTCCAAATAGTATAAACCATACTCGATTTGATTCAGGCTGTAGTTATTCAAAGATGGGAGCATTAACTTGCATGAATTGCTGATGGAGATCACTTATCACATAACCACGTATATTCCTCAATCTACAGTTTCGACGGACAACTTCCCTTGAGTTTCCAAGAACAGGATTCATCAATATATCGTCACCTTGTTATCATTAAATCACCTTCAATTATCCATACCAGTTTATCCGAGATACGTAACACTCATGCCAACTTCACAGACCTTGACTGCGATCCTACCTTCGAAAGCAGCCATCCACCGTTCTGCAACTTCTGAAACACCCCGTCAGGGTCATACTTCGCAGCAATGCTTTTGAGCTTTGCTACATTCTCAGCACCATAGCTGGATAGTGGATCTTGATCGCGAGACGCATAGCTGGAGTACCGGTATGGAAGATACGCGCCAGCCTGCTTTGCTGTCGCTTCGGCAACATCCACAATCTTACAGACTGCTTCTCGGACGCGATCCTCGTCTTTCGCATGTTTCCAGTCGGCCATTGACAAGAACCCTACCTTGTTAGTTTCGCGAGCATACCATAAGGAGGGCAACATACATTGCTGGCCTACTGCTTCTAGCCCAAGAGGCGTTCCACCATCCTTCTGACTCTGTTTCATGGCCAAGGAAGACATGGGCTGGAATACGTTGGTCAGGACAAGGCCTTCAACGTCACTCAAAGCCTCCTGTTGTTCTCGGCGGACCTTCTCGGTTGCTTCGTATAACTCTAAGCATGGCCGACTGGACATGGTTCGGAACTCATGACTAAGGGTCTGTTAGCATGGCACACACACTGTAAGCCTTGTTATAACCTACTGCAAAACCTCAGGTGAGATGACTGAGGCAACCGCCTGGACGAGCTCATAGATCGAGCGAGTACCCGGCGGCACAAAGTTCATCAAGAAGGGGATATCATAGAATGACTCAAATGCAGCAGGCTTCTCGACAGGGGCACAGTAGAAGAATACGAGAAGAATTGCTTGGCTGGTAGCATGCCAGACGAGAGATGCCTTGTTGTCGACTTCAATTGCTTCATGGTACTTCATGAGACCCTTGGCGAGCTCGGGGTAGGCTGTTGGAGGGTAAACACGAGCTTCAGCCCACGACTCGGTAGGCACTGTCACTAGGTCCATCTTGGTTACGATACCTTGGGGTTTGGTCAGTAATCAAATCATTATACTTCCGAGGAACGGCTTACCGAAGTTAGGACCGCCTCCCTTGAGGGCCCAAAATAAGTCTGGATTTTCTTGCGCATTGGCATTGACAATGCTTGAGTCTGCGAGGACAACCTGTGATCTAATTAGCGAGGATTTGGAAGGAGTGCAGTGTACATGCAAGACTACCTCATAATTAGACACGCCCATTGCGCCCACTCCATACTGACTATTTTGGAAGGAGATCCCTCCTCCCAGGAGAAGACCTGGGACACCAACAGTTGGAATTCGACCTCCTGCCACTGCAAGACCATAAGGGTCGAGAGCCTTATAGACATCAAGCCACCTTAGTCCAAGACCAACATCTGCGGTAGACTTGTCGTCCGACAGCTTGACATGGTTGAATTTGCTCAGGGAGATGACTACTCCGCCGTTGTTGCTGGTGAACCCCGGGTTCTGTAGGTGACCACCACCGCGGACAGAGAAGTTAATGTTGAAGAAACGACAGAGAGCATGAGCAGTTGCGACTTCTTGTGCTGACGTTGCTGTGACCACAACTAATGGTTGGAGCCAGCAATTGATTGACCTGTGTAACAGAATCAGTCTGATTGTAAATGTGCTTCGAGGATGTGCAATTGTCATACCAGGGTACTTGACGTTGGGTATCATACCCATCCGATTCCCGGAAGATGGCATTTTCGCCGAAAAACAAAGGGAAAACTTGGGCAAGATGGGATGCCCGTACAGAGCCCTTCTCATCATCCGAAAGTGCTGCATACTTGGACAGTAGGGCCTCGATTGTTGGGGTTGTGGAAGTGTCAACGTTCGCCCCCTGAACGATCGCTGCAATGACTGCTGCACAGCTCATTATGGCTTGTGTGTGAGGCTGCAATGACAGGGTTGCTTACCAGATACCCCGGTCAATAAAGAAAAAGAAATGAGGATGTTCACGAAAAGGAGTGACTACGAACGGTATCCACCGTGCTCATTAAATAGCACTCATTGGCAACGGACATGGAGCCGGCACGCGGAACAAAGTCCAGGATTTGCGGGGCTAGAACAGCCCTAGTCTGGTAGTCACACACGCTATCCTACGCCAACCGTTTTCTTGCCTTTCGCGTTGTCCATTATAGTACAGGGATCTGATTCCTTCTTTATCAGAGATTTTCAACTTAATCCTGGCTAAATGCAATAACGGGGGACTTTATCCTCGACATGCTCCCCCCTCTGGACTCGACATTTCTACCATGCCATACGAGCAATGACCGGTGTGGGACATTAGATTAATTGCAGGATGGACTGGACGGTCATACCACGAGATGGTGGTCTACCTACGATGACTACTACTGTCCGTATCATAGTCCTCGTCCTTGCTATCCCAACTACCCTGGTTTGCGGTCTCCGGGTATGTACCTGACGCCTGATAAGGATGAAAAGCACAACTCATGCAATGACATATCTCATAGCTCTACCTACGGAAAACTGTTCTAAACTCATGGGGACTGGATGACTGGATGGTAATGGTCGCTCTTGTTAGTCTCTCCAAATGCTCGAGCGGTGTGGGACAAATTACTGAAGGACAACAGATCATGGCGAACGGATTCTCGGCGCTTGCATATACCATCACCTACTATGGTCTCGGAAAAAAGACCAAGGATGTTTCAGATGCGGACCTGTTGGTTTGGTGGAAGGTACGCTGAGCTAACACACCCTCTAGATTGGACAGCGGCTGAGGTCACAGGCAAAACTTAGATCTACTATGCTGCGCTCTGCAGCTATTTGCTCGTTGCTGCATCGGTCAAGACAAGTTTAACTGTCTTTATAATGCGGCTTTTCCCCACCCGCAGCATTAGCATCGCTGGCAGATGCATATTGGGATTCCTAGCGGCCTTCACTCTCGCAGGAACTTTGGCTCTCGCATTCCAATGTCGACCCGTTCGCGCTGGATTCGACAAAACCATCCTTGATGCTAAATGCTACAGTGTTGACACTTCCTTTGCCATCCTCATGGCGCAAGGCGTTATCATGTTTGTGATGGATCTGACCATCCTCACACTTCCGATCCGTCGCGTGTGGCAGCTTCAGATGCCACTTGGACGAAGGGTCTTGGTACTTGGACTATTTTGTCTTGGTATGCGAAAGCCTCACCTGGACCAAATCGTAACTGACTGTTATGTCCGCTCAGGATTCACAGCGTGCATCGCGGCACTGGTTCGCTTCAGCACTTTGACCTATGCCAGGGACGAAACAGACTACACCTGTAAGTATAATGGTATCAGTGGTTTGATGAGGATATCCAGCTCGCTTACACATTATTACCAATAACAGACACGGCCGCTAATTCACTCATCTGGATGGAACTTGAGTTCAATCTTGGTCTCATGTCCGGCTCCCTTTCGTCCCTGCGCAAACTCATTAAGCTTCGATCGCCTTTCGGGTCGCGACAAACCTCTTCTTTCACGGGAAGCCGCCCCAACAACGTCGAATTAGGGAGATATAAAGGCTGGGGTAGGGGTATAAGCAAGAAAACGGAAATCAACAGGGTTTTTGAGATCGTAGACAGCAGCCAGGAGCACATCGCCCCGATTTACGGTCAGGGTGAATTATGCACCACCACTAATGCGTTCTCCAATGGGAAGCTTAGCTGTTAGACTCCATCTTCGCTCAGAATAAAGATATGTGACTTTGTACTATAATCAATCTCAAATGCAATCACCTTCGCTCACCCATGCAGCAGCGGTAGAAATGCACACGAACCGATGCTGCTAAGGGGGAGGGGCCGCTGTCAAATAAGCACAGCTCCACTAATGCCACCGGCACAGACGCTAAATCGACCGGCCGTCAGACGGCGCGGTTTTATCATTCCCGCTGACTAGTCTAGTCTAGACCTGCTTTCGCTGCCACTAACTAGCCATTTACATTTTACACAACTAGCTAAGCCAAACTAGGCGCGAGCAAGGAAATCAGTGAGCATCCGGGTTCCGGTCGGCGTTACTGTTCCAAACAGCCGATGGACAGCCACTCCTCAGGCCATCTTCCCTACCATAACAACAAACCCGTATTCCTCTCTTCCGAGTAGTAGGAGCGATTCTACCGGCAGAATATTTATTAAATGGTTCTTTACATGCTAGAGCCTGTGACATAGGCCACTATTGCACAGAGCCTGAATATACTGCCTGAGGCCCCTTAAGTGAACCAGGGGGTTGCGTAAAACCTCCGCAACCATATTGCGAAGCAGCCCTTAAAGAGAGGCAGTGAATGGACCTACAGGTTCTACAGTATTGTTTTTTTGTGACACCCTACGAAGGCTCTTTATAGAATACGTTGCGAGAGCCAGCGTGCGCTGGAGAATATAGTGCTATGTTATAAGCGGAACCAAGTATGACTGTGTGAGGAAGCCTGGACAACATGGCAGTAGCGCCTATCTACACATCCTACACATCCTACACATCCTATATTAACTATTTACACTATACCTTGTTCCTTTCAAAGCAACTCGAACAGTTGCTCCTAAGCTGTCTGGTACACGTGCTATCAACGGTCAGTCTTGGAAAGCCAACCCAGGAATTTCTGCCGACCGGACAGGATCCTGTCGGAACCTTTGGGGTATACTTTGATAATGATTGGTACCTAGTGGTAACTAGTACATGTCTTGAGCATCAGTTTTAATTGATGCTGTTCATTTCATTTCAATGGTAGTAAAGTACCATAATGAGTTCAAGTGATAGGGAATTTAACGCTGATATCACCTACCTGGATCTTGACCTAGTGCTTTCATTAAGCACTAGCTGCAATACAAACACTCTTTATGGCCATTGTAATCACGTGAAATTACAATACGCGTGTTTCTGTAGCCCAGACCTAACTTATGCCTTACTATGAGTGAGTCTTGTGCCAGAGCAGATCCGGAGGAGCTAGATCTACCCAAGTTCGCCTCATAATCATGTCCTTCTACTGACTTATTGGCATAGGTACTGCCACCGCCTGGTTACTGGAAGTGGAAGAATGGCGGGCTTAGTCTGAACAAAGGTACTTCGGTCTACACCACAGGCGAGCCGGATGAGTGCTTCATAAACTCGGTGCTGGGAAGCTGAGGCACGAATATGAGCTTCACTTTAGACACATGTGCGTCTAGCATGTAATAGCGTTTGTCAAGCCTGATTTAACTCCGGGTACTTTTGTGTTCAATTTAACTTATATCTATAAGTGTCTTTGACTACTATGATTGCTTAATGGAAAGTTCATAGAGGTGGTTTTAGAACTAAAGGTACATTTAATGAACAAAGAACGACAAAATAAACACGCACAAGTGATTACGAAAATCAATCATTCATCTAACCGCAGATCACACATCTCCCCATGGGCTACCCATCATTTCTTGTCCTTCTTGGAGTTCGACTGGTTAGGGGCGAGGTCCTCAGGCGGGTAGACCGGTGCCTCGGGGATTGGGGAAAGCTTCACAGGCTTATATAATTTCTCCTTGGAGAACTTGACATATCCGTTGATATAGGCATGCGCAGACGTGGCCCTTTTGCCATCCTTATCCAGAAGAACCACGGAGCCATGGTACGGGTCGTTGCGATTAGGCGTGGGATGAGGGTTCCCGCTTTGCAAGGTTAGCTTCTCTGGTCGTTCAATGATGCAACAGAGGTATGCAACTATCTTACATGACCTGGGCGCTGACAACGCGGGCTCTTAAACCCGGAACTCCATCAATGGAGAGCTCGATCTGGTGGATCAACCAATTGACATCGATGGTAATTCTTGGAGAGTCCAGTTGAGCTGCTTCAGTTGTCTGGCGGTGGTTGAGAATGCTCGCGACGCCATGATTGTTGGATTTGTTAAATGTAGATGTAGACGATGCGTGAAGAGATGATCGTAGTGTAAAAATGGCCTTGGAGTGAGATGATGCTCTGTTTGGTTTCTGTTGATGCAGAGGACTCCGAGCCTCTCTTATATGTTTCCATCAGAAGACATGCTAACTAGTGCGGGAGTTAGCCTTGCTTTCCTTACTATTGCGGATTACTTTCCTCGGTCGCGGGTCACATAAGATATGCTGTATTCATTGGCGGAGAGGCTTTGGAGCGACAGAGGTTCTTTAGCGCTCTCTCGAATCCTTTGAGAACCAGAGGATCCTAATTATGGCTGCCCTGGCGTAACTAAAAGCGTTCTCCGGGTTTACTATATCGATTGCACTGCCGCCTTGCCCACGTATCCGTTTCATGGCGTAGCAGCCTTCAGCGACCCAGTCAAGATCTCAGCTTGATAGGGTACGGTTTGCGCGCTACACTGCTCGGGTTGTGGCTTTGCCGTATGCTGGAACAGACCATGATGCAAGCGAGCGCTTACACCGTCGTGCTAAATGAGTGTCCATCACGGCGCCAAAGTCAAATCAATGCCTGATTGATCACTGCTAGCCGCTGGTAAAAATAACTCAAGTTAATGACGCGTAACAAGCGGCATTTTGGACACGCTCCTGTGGTTGCTTGACGTCAAGATGCCATATAGTACTTACCATAATCATTATCAAGTGGTCACAGGGCTGACTTCGCTGGAGCTCGGGAGCGTTGGATGATATTATTGGCTGAAAGGTTGTTTCCCCCAACCCGTATCAGGATTAGTCACGTCGCGACCTGTAACTTATTGTGCCAGGTGATTGAACGTTCACCAACCGTGCTCGGTCTCCTTAATGATTGTCAACTTCTTGAACAACAACCCATAAATAACACAAGTGCCATTCGGCTTGAAGGAAAGTTCTCTGTAATGAATCCTCTGAGGTTATCCGTTCCTCGTTTGACTGCCTTGCTTCGCAAGAAACCGTTCCCCATGCCTTCTGCCGGGCCACCTTTACCGCCCGGCATACTCGTTGATGAGGAGATCTCGCCAGTTTACAATTCCAAGTACTTCTATCCAGCGAAGCCGGGAGAGGTACTCGGCGACCGTTACCAGACTCTGGTAAAGGTTGGCTGGGGCGTGTCTTCAACGGTATGGCTTGCGTGCGATTTGCAAAGGTAGCCTTCAATGAAATCTCCGCCATTTGGGACTTGCTGTCGCTGACCAACATACAGGCAGATTGAGGAGCCCGGGAGCGTTGTGGCACTAAAAATTGCCAATAACAATGCAAGCTTTGCTGGTCATGAGTGTGAAGTTGAAGAGCACATCTCTACGGCAGACCCATCGCATCGCGGCCGCTCACTCATCCGAACATTACTGGACTCTTTTCAAATTGAAGGTCCAGAAGGTTCTCATTCATGTCTTGTGTATCCGCCAATGAGGGAGCCACTATCGATGTATCAACGGCGTTTTGATGAGAAAAAGATGCCATTGCCACTCGTCAAAACATACATCCGTGCCCTTTTTACGGGCCTCGATTATCTCCACAAAGATTGCAGAACTGTTCATACAGGTAAGTCTATCACGCCCCTTTCAAGGCTTCTCATCGGTGGTACTAAACTCAGGTGACTTTGTAGATATCAAGCTCGAAAACATCATGGTCTCATTTGAGGACCCAACTGTTCTTGCTGAATTTATTGAATCTCAGCTTGAAAAGCCAATGGCCTTTAAGGTCGATTCGACAGGGCGGCCAGTGTATCAGTCTCGCAGTGACTTCGGGCCCCTCAAAAGCTTGAGAAGTATACCACAGCTTGTTGACTTTGGCTTGGCAACGAGACTCGAAGAAGACGATGATTGGGGTGTCTGGCCTATTCAGCCGGACCACTATCGGGCACCAGAGGTGATATTGGGTATTGGGTGGCAAATGCCTGCAGATATCTGGAACCTTGGTGTTCTGGTACGTTCCGTTATTCCCTAAGTCTGTTGCATTCACTAACTTGGGACAAGCTATGGGATTTGATTGAAGGCAAAGAGCTATTCCAGCATATCCATGATAAACAAGGGCGCTACGATGCTAAACTACACATGGCTGAAATGGTGGCCTTACTCGGCCCACCCCCTCCAGAGATCATGCAAAGGTATCAATACATGCGAGAATACCCGTGGCCGGAACCTGTTAGACGAGAAGATGACAGACTATGTGAGACCGCGGAGGAGTACTTCGATGGGCCATTCTTTGACAACAACGGTATTATGTGTTTCTTTATCCGGAGATTTCCAGATTACTTACTTATTTTAGGCCGCTTCATATACGAAGACTTGATTCCCAACCGAACATTAGACGACGCGGTTTCCTTTCTCGATGAAGAGGAGAGAGATAATTTCGTTGACCTTGTCAAGAAAATTCTGGTTTGGCACCCAAATAAGAGAAGAACGGCAGGCGAACTGGCCGCACATCCTTTTCTTCAACCCAAGCAAACTATTACTTGATTTTCTGCGAGCGCTTGCTGGTGGACAGTTGGACGGTGGCATCAAACAGCCGGTTCAGACGTTAGCACAGTTGTCATTCCGAATGGCATGTACAGTTGGGTCCGTTTATGTATGCCAATAATACAACTAGACTTTGGACTGTTTTCATGATTGCATGCGCCACGTCACCGTGGACATCATTCTGATAGCTTTTCACAAGCCCCCCTAGCCTGGTAGGTACTTCGTATACTCCCCACCTCCGCCTTATCGCCGAGGAAAGTCTCTATTATTAGAGTAGGTGAAAACACACCAATCTCATACTATGTTTATAATGTTAGTATTAGATATTAGGCTCGCACGAGGCATCTTTCTGTGGCGCATCGTCGGCAAATGGCATGGCGTTGACGGACCCTTTCGATACAATTGCATTACCGGGAACTGTTATGTTGTCGCTGATCACAAGGTCGCGAAATTTCTTCTCTTCATATCATCATGTCGATTGGTGTAAACGGAGCGTGTGCCATAAAGAAGCGTAGAAGAGTCCATAACTGCCATAGACGGTGATTATGCCGAAGGGGATTCAGTAGCGTTGTTATGCTTCATGTAGGCTGTCAGCCACTTACAGGTTAGACATCGTTAGAAACTTGAGAATTTCCGAAATCTTACCTTTTTATAGCGATACCAATGAAAAATGTCTGAATGCTATAATGGTAATTCAGTTCTGCCGGAAGTCTCACCCAAAAGAAAGATGAAACAATTTTTTATGTAGGCTACGACGGTCAAGGCCTTGCTAGACTTCAGTAAGATGTCACAGTGGATACAGATTCGCGCTCCAATGGCAGCCTAATAGGGTGAACGACAGTTGGGTCAAGACAGACCTTGACGAAGCTCCAAGTTTATCCTCAAATTGTGAGCCCCCGAACCAGGGTTATCTACGTCATGTGTATTAAGCCTGTATCGGTAACGGTAACAGTGTAATATGTGGTCCTGTATCTTTCGATTTCGATATCAAGTCTCAGACGCACCATATGCCTAAATAGGCATACCAATAAAGTTCACTATGCGTGTCAAACTTTAGTAGCCACACTGGCCACCGAGGGGTGATTGACGACATTCAATGATCTGCACGATCCAAGATCTATAAAGCAATGCTACGTCCAGAGTGGAAACGGCATTAGTATTTCCACCACACATTTGTTGCAATAGACGCTGGGAGTTTTTGAATCCGTCGATTTCTCGGACTTTGCAGTTCACATATTGACATCATCCAAGACACTCCAAAATGGGCTTAGACTACCTCATGGTGTAAGTATACGAAGTAACATGTTATGCTAGCCATGCTTATTATTTAGGCATTTGACATACAACATCCCACTCGCAGTGGTGATGACATTGGCTTACTGGCCTTTCTTTACAAAGCTGGATCTATACAGAATAGCAACGCTTATTACGGTATGCCCTCTCCATCCAATGTACGACACCTGCTGATACATCCAGATTGCGGTCATATCAACCATTCCCTGGGACTCCTATCTTATCAGGACTCGGATCTGGACATACCCACCATATGCGATACTAGGACCGAGAATATGCTTGATCCCCATCGAGGAGGTTTTCTTCTTCGTCATTCAGACGTACAATACAAGCCTGGTGTACATTATTCTAACAAAGCGCTTTGTTATGCCTATGTATCTTGGACCGCAAGATGCACTGAAAAGAAATCTAGGAATTGTCATTATCGGCTCGAGTCAATTTTTGGGACTGGCTAGTATATTTCGTGGTGGACGGTATACCTACCTAGGACTCATTCTAGCTTGGATCTGCCCATTCATGATGATTCAATGGTAAGCATACGCGATCGATGAATGGTGCACGCTAATTCTATTAGGCTGGTGGCCTATCGATTTATTGTACGACTTCCACTTCGAGAGGTATCTCTGGCGGTCTGTATACCCACTCTTTTTCTATGGGTTGTAGACACAATCGCCTTGGGAAAGGGGACATGGGTGATCGAGTCAGCCACTAAGTTAGATATTCAACTCTGGGGGAGTCTGGACATCGAGTAGGTGCCTATGAGAGAGCAAGCTTATATCAGAGTTAATGTGTCTTAGGGAAGCGATATTCTTCGTTGTAACGAATATCATGATTGTGCTTGGTCAGATGGCCATTGACAATGCGATTGCATTGGGCATATATAACATGGGTATCACTTCAGAGACGGAATTTCCATCTTATGGACAGCTCTTCACGCAGTTTATTACCAGACGGAATGAAGAGCTCAACATGAAGTATATACATGATCTACGCGATGCAGTGATGAGACTCAAACAGCGCAGCCAGAGTATGTACATGGGAAGTGCCATGTTTGAAGGCCAGCTTCGCATTGACTTGATCTATTTGTAAGTGCTTCAGAATGTTGTCGTGCCGCATACTAATGTGTATAGATATTCTTTTTGCCGAGTGATAGATGATCTAGTGGATGAAGCACCAGACAGCAGTACGGCACGATCTGTGATTCAAGAGTGTGCACTGCTTCTTGAGCAGAGATTCGCAGGAAAGAACATGGCGAAGAGCATACGCTCTGACCCAGTCCTGCTATCGTCCATCGAGCATCTTCCTGTTGAAAGGCTGTCGATCGAACCTCTTCAAGGCCTGCTGAAGGGCTTTGAAACAGATCTCGAATTCAACACCAGCAATACCAAATCTCCAATCTTAACCGAAACAGATTTGGAGAGATATGCCTACCGTGTCGCAGGAACGGTTGCCGAATGCGTCATCCAGCTAACCGTCGCCCACAACCGCCCTCACAATCTTGATAAACACACGTACCAACAGACGATCACCGCAGGCGCACTCATGGGCCAAGCACTCCAATACATCAACATCGCCCGAGACATTCAATGCGATGCAGGAATCGGGGCGCGTGTATATACCCACAACCTGGTTAGAGGCGAAAGGGCTCACACCAGCCAAGGTTCTGGATTGTCCCACTGAACCACAAGTACAGAGCCTGAGGATGAGACTGCTAGATCAAGCGGATGAGTGGTATAGAATGACAGAAGCGGCAATCGGGAGGCTTCCATTGGAGGCCCAGGGCCCCATCCGCGTCACGGTGGAGAGTTATATGGAAATTGGGAGATCGTTGCGGCAGTTGAACGAGCTGCGGACAAACGGAAAGATGGAAGTCCCGCTGTGGAGGCGACTGAAAGTGGCCTACGGTGCATTGGCCGATGGTATGTAAATTACTGCAAGGATCATATTGCATCGATCTACATGCAAGGATTAGGAAACAAGGTTTATCAGGGGAAATGGAATAGATGAACTAATGGACCTGTTCACATCGCTGCTGCCCGTTGAAGAATTGTTTGTAATAAAAATTTCGGGCCTTCAGCTGGAGGTAACGGTGAGGTCTAGTAGGTTGGTATGGGCTAGATAGGAGATCAGAAAGAAGTAGTAGGTACTCATATACATGTAGCATTGCGGTACTTTCATACTACACCTTGAATAGGAAATTATGTTTATCGTTCAGAGAGAAGAGACGCTACTCCGTAGGGTATCAATTGTGGCATTTCTCTATAGAGAACACACACCTAAGATTATAAGAGATAGCGATAAAAAGACTAGTGATATGATAGCCATGGATTCAACAAAGATTCCCCCCTTGGGTTTCCCACCACAATCCTTCATGATCTGATCGCTTACCAGTTTACTCCCCGCAAGACACACTGGAACTCCTGTGCCAGGATGAGTGCTTGCCCCCACAAAGTAAAGTCCCTTGATGGAAGAATGCTTAGTCTTTGGACGAAGACTTAACACATTGAAGAATGAATGTGAAAGCCCTAGAATAGAGCCTCGATTGAGGTTGAACTTTTCCTCCCAGCTTGCCGGTGTCTCGACGTACTCGTGGATTAGACTTTCTCGAAGTGCTCGAGCTCCAGTGCGTGTTTCGATTGTATCAAATACAGTGTCTCTTGCTTTGCTGGCGAGCGTGTCCCAGTCTTGGGGTTCAGTGCTGTCCATCATATGGCCAGTAGGCACCAGTACAACCACTGCATCCTTACCCTTCGGGGCAGCTGTAGGATCAATTCGGCTTGGGACATTCACGTAGAAGGACGGTTCGTTTGGCAATTGGTGATCCTTGAAGATGGAGTCAAAGCTGTTTTTGTATTCCTCAGCAAGAAATATATTATGTACTTTTAACTCGCTGATCACACGGTCAAAAGACCAGAAGAAGGAGATGCTGCTGCAAGATGCTTCGCGGTTGCTTAGACGGCGTGCTTCTTTGGATGCAGGAAGGAGATGGTTGTATGCATAGACCAGGTCTGCGTTGACCACCACAAGATCTGCCTCGAGCTTCTCGCCAGATGAGAGAAGAACGCCTTTTGCTGATTGGTCTTCTGAAATAATGATCGAGGATACAGGAGATTTGAGGCGATATTCGACTCCAAGGCGTTTTCCAATTTTCTCTATACCTTCCAGTATCTGGTTCATTAGCATGGCCTGTGTTGATCGATTTAAAATCTACCAACCTTTTCAAAACCCCCAGCGGGATACCAAACCCCACCTGCCAATTCTGCATACTGTAGAAGAGAATAGGTCCCTGGTGCATCATACGGACTCATACCAAGATACATACTTCCAAAGGTAAATATCCGTCTCATCTTGTCAGACGTGAAGTATCGACTGACACGACTATGAATACTTTGGAAGGGATGCATCGTAAACAGGGACTGCAGCAATCCAAGTCGCATCATACTAAATAAGCCAGGGAAATTTCGGCGCAAAACATGGATCATTGACAAATCGTAATGACGACCAGACTCTTGCATGAAGCCGAGAAAGCTATGAAAGCTGTTTTCTCCCTCATGATGCTCTATTTGTGGCTTCAGCCTTGCCACATCAGTTGTTAGATCGAAGCTGTCGTGGTCAGAGAACCAGACCCGGTAGTTTGGCTCGCATTTTAACAAAGAGATTCCTTCGCCTTCAATAGAGGTTCCTAGATCATGGAACGTCTCGTGGAACACTTCTGGCATCAATAAAAGAGAAGGACCTTGGTCGAATCTCTGTCAATCGTTAGCAAGAAGAGTGTTGGAATAGAGAAATGACGAATAACGAACATAGCCGTTATGATGGATCAGAGAGCATCGGCCGCCGACAAAGTCGTTCTTCTCAACGACAGTGACATCGAAGCCTTGTTTTGCCAAACGAGCAGCAGTGGCTACGCCTCCAGCACCAGCTCCTATATACCTTTAGGCCACGTTCAGATGGATTTAGATATACGTACCGACTACAATAACTTTGGGCATCATGAAATTGATATAAGTAGCCTTCACGCAAAAGTAGTTAAATTAATGACAACAACACCGACATCAGAAGATCACGGCAAATGTATTATTTAAAGCCCCCCGCCACCGATAGTACACCAGAGAACGCCATGAAGACAGACCACCTTGCCATGCAAAGGACAGCCTAAACCACGTATCAAATCCCCCCTCGCGAGGGGATCTGCCGAAGCCCTGCTAGATTCATTAGTAGATATCCCACTTTACTGGTTTACCGGAAATCGTATCCAACTAATCGGGCCAGGAATACCCTGTAGAACATACTTACATAGCGGTCTTACCGAGCACCTTGCTCTACGAGACTCAGCTTCTAACTCCGGAAACCGACACTTGCATTCCTGCTCCAGTGAATTAGGGCTTTCCTCATTTTGTTTTCAGTGCATGTTACCCACTTTGTAATATGCTCGTAATGTAAAATACGTTCACAATACCAGTAACACCTAAGAAGAAGTCAAAGTTCGTTCGTAAAGACCCTCAATGGATCTTCAAACATAGTCGAGTATTCATCGAGTATCCAGCAAGGGTTGAGGTGCAGTAAAAAAGTGAACTGCCATGAGACTGATCACTTTATGGCTTGCGGAAGGTGATCCATCCAATCATCTCACGCCCTCCTCCACTACTTACTGAGATTGTTGCACAATGGGCACGCAGCTGGAGGAACATAGTAGTACAAGGCGCTTTCTTATCTCGTCCGATCTACAAGCATCGTCATGTGTAACAATACATTCTTCTGTCCAAAGCTTATCTCTCACCCAAGGAGTTGTTCCACTTATCGCACCGCTGAGTTAGTCCAGCCTCTCTTGACCTCCTCGCTACGAGGCGACGTTCAAATATCTGGAAATAGCAATGACTCGCATCATTTTACGACGCCCCATTTCCTTCCTTGATTTATGGTATGTTGAGGCGCGTGATTACTAGCAAAGCAACGAAACAGCGAAAGCAAGCAAACGAACGCGCAAAAAAATGCAGCAAAAGTGTGAGTTGAATTAGTAGCTATCTAGGTGATCTAGTAAACAAAGCGAGAGGTCGTTTGTGGGCGGCCTGAGCGCCTGGCACGTGACTTCGCCTACTCCAGCAGATGCCTCGACATGGTATGATGTGTGATGCAAGCAGTGTGTGTCGTAACATTCCAGATATTGCCATTTCTGAAACAGGTTTTATATGGTTAGTCGCATATACCTGGATAGCCCAAGGATAGTGATATTGATTGTGATGGTAGGTATTGGATACTTCAAGGCATAAATGTTCTATCAGCAGGATGTTCTTCAATCATGTCACTCACGACCCAAAAGCCCCGGCTCATACAACCCTGTTGTCTCTCAGCATTAGCATCCTTATCTGATCTATTGGCTATCTTATCATGGCTAATTAGCTCGGATGGGGGTCTGTTGGGGTTGAATTTGTACATCACTGGGTGTTGTCTGGTGAACATAGTATATAGCATGATGTGGATTGTATATATACATAAATGCGCAAAGGTGTTCAATCGACCCTAGCGTTGTACGCCTTTCTGGCCTCTATTTTCTCATTTGCACAGTAGCTATTTGCTATTAATCTCAACACGTCTATACCTTAGGTGCGTCAAGATGGGCGTTGCACTGCTACTATAATTGTGCAACCCTGGAATTGAGTAGGCGTGGCTTCGATTGAGCTATACAGAGACTGTTGCATGATTGCAAGATATATTCATCAGCGCAGTCTAGCTTCGTTATAAGTTATCCTCTCGCATAATCAAGCTTCAGTATTATTGAAACCTGGCCTAATTCACTTGTCCACAAGTCAATAATGCCAATACCCTATGTTTGTTATCGTTACGAGGTTATTATACAAAACAACATGTCTCAACAGCTTTCAAACATAGAGTCTATCATGATATCGAAATGTAGTATTGGTTAGATAGACAAGTCATGTGCTACATGTTGTGCACATTCAGGCAACATTTTAAGGACATTATCCCACATAGAATCATGTAGCCCTTCTTCCCTAGCCAGTGTTGCCGCGGTCGATGACCTGAATGAAATGTTATCATGTCAGCCAATATTACTGACTAGCTTGGAGACTTACGGCCTAAATTTTCCATCTGCGAAGAAGCAGCCATGCACTGCTGTGTTCATACCTTCGATCGCCGTGAGATACTGCCATGCGCCCTGATCAGGGGTCCGGCAAACTAGCCTCTCCAAATAATCGGCGATAGTCTTACCATTAAAGGAACGGAAAAGTCCGCTGCGGCAAAATCCGGGTGTGGCGGACGCCATGAGAACACGTGCTGGATCTATTCTGCGGGCCAGCTCCTGCATCCACAGGATGACCAGTAACTTACTGATGTGGTATCTTGCATAACAGGGATATGTATTTGACTGGTTGAGCATTTCTATCAAGGCGGTGAATGACTTTTGCTGAGGATTTGCCCATGCATGCGCCTCTGATGAGATAATCAATAAACGACCTTGCGTTGGTTGTCGCAGTAACAGCTGGATGGCGAGCAGTGCTGTAGCGCAGTTACTTAGAAGAATGACCTATATCTCATGAAGTCGAGTAAGCGACTGTGGTAGTGAAGAAGTGGTGGTACGTCGTCTCGAATATTCCTTATAACAGATAGGTCTCCCCTCCTTACCTGTAGTGTCCGTTCCCTTCCTGTGTTTTCGCATACGAAAAATTCGGTTTGGTAGATGCCTGCGTTCAGGATTACTAAGTCTAGAGAAGGGTAATCTTGCAGGCGAGCATTGAAAGCCGTAATAGAATCTTCGGAACCCATTTCCAATTCCAAGACGTCGACTTTGGGTGTAATATGGAGAGGCTCTGTTTCTTTCATAATTTCTTCTCTCAAAACTTCGCCCTTTTCACTATTCCTTGCTGTCACGATTACATGGGCACCGACACGAGCAAATGCCTTTGTGCACTCCAACCCACACCCACTGGTTCCGCCAGTAATTAGGACTCTTGTTGGCGTAATTCGAGAGGTCTTTCTCTGATACTGACCCGCATCTTGGAAACAAGAGTCGATATAGAACAGCAAATGGGCCATACGGATCAAATGTAAGTGTATAAGGGTTTAAAAAGCTGAAATCCAGCATATGTAGCGAGGAGGGCATGGTCGATGGCTAAAACCCGTCATACACTTGCTGTGCTGGAATCTTGATAATGGTGCCTGTGTTTGTGCCAGTGACGATATCCCGGGGAATAAGTACGTTGTTGCCGCCTTCTTCAGTTAAGCAGAAAGATGAATCAGCTACCTACTCTTCAAGTTTCCGTAGCTGTGCGTCAAAGCGAGATGGATTCCAGGTTTTCCTATGATTGCCGATCACCGATCTTACTGTACGTTATGGCAAGTATGACGTAGGCTAGTAACCATTGCTCCGTAGCACCTTGCATATGTTGTCCTGTACATTGCCTACCAATCCAGCTAGTTGCCGGCTGCAAGGTATCGATTCAAGACCCCTCACATCAGATGAGAACTTTTCCGTGAAGGATGGGGCGTAGGTTTCCTCAATTTTCACCGCTCGTAGAAAGTGATGTCGTCCGTGCAGTTGCAAGGTATAGATACCAAACTCCGCCATACATTGTACCATTCGTGATTCGCGATGTGAATATGCCGAATGAGGAGTGGGGGGGGGGGAAGAGGAAGAGGCGAACAAAGAAGGCACCCACTATATATGCAGTACTCCACCGCCTTGGGATTAGTAACTTACAATATTACTTCATTCAATCAGAAGTTCACTGATGCCTAAGTCTATCATACTGCCGGGTCCAATCTGGTGCGTTTCAGGCAGTTAATCCTCCGAATTTGAACCTCTAGGCCATCTGGTAACAGACTAGGGTTCTGAGTCAACACAGTCAGAAAGCGCATCCCTTAGTTATTAGATTAGCCAATTACGGGATCAACCGGATGTTCATAATAGTGTTATACCTTCTATCCACGAGAAGCAGTCGAGCAACAGTCCATCATTAAGCATTCGGCCAGTTTTGAGGCAGCTTATGTGCCGCTTTCTTGGCGCAGTATAGTCCAGTTGTTGTGATCGGTGTCGGTGGGAAGTGTCATCGTCTAATGGTAATAAGGTCGCGGGGTTGCATGCCGGGTTGGAGTACAGAAAGCGAATGTCTTACTGCAATAGAGTTCTTTGACGAATAACGTTGAAGCGGAGGAGGACGGCTTCATGTAGTCCACATGCTAGACTGTGTCGGCGATCGAGACAACCTTAATAATTGAGAATGATATACTTTTATGTGATGTTAAAAATCTGAGGGTCTATATCCTACACTCCTAGCCCACAAAAACCCACCCAATAACACCTATGACTTCCCTTCTAGGTCCGTGCCCCAGCCGAATCATGTCCACGCGAGTCAGTTTGATCCATCTCCAGATCAAAGCTCAAATTTGTGAACCCTTCCTGTCTCCGCTGCACACTGCGAAGATTGCAAGTGCTGGACATCCTATCAAGCCTTCCGCCACTATCACTCCGCCATCCAGACACATGGAACCTCAAGACTTGTCGGAATGATGGTACGCAAGCTGTGACGATGACGAGACTTGCCTCGACATTACTATCGAACCAGCGATCATGTTAGCAACGAACACTCAAGTGTAAGGATAAAGGAGGGATAAAAGATCACATACATCCAAAGAGCCACCCCACCCAACAGATATGTCTGGTCTTGCTGCGTCAACATCGGCACCGTAGCCGCCAGTCTCAATGTACTCGTAACTAGTGACCTGAACACAACCATAAAATATTAGCCACGACTTACAACCCAGTCCAAACAAGTCCAAAGAGAAAGATCAAACGTACAAACTTCCCAAACCAAACATAAGAATCAACCCAAACCTCTTCTTTGAGGTCATTTGCAACTTCAGAACAATAGGCAGCGGCATGACCAGCAATACCAAATCAATAAACATACTTGCCACCACGCCCGCCATGAAGATCGGGGCTTTACTCCAGCAGCGTCCGTCTATGTCAGGGTACCAGGACTTATGTACCGGCTCGCAAGTAAACAGAAATAAACATTCTAGGACAATCATGTAGGCGACGACGAAGGCGGTCATGCCCCATAGGGTTATGCGCCAATTTCGTTGCATATCGGAGAGCCGGTAGTAGAGAATAATGAGGGAGATTTTGGATAGACCGAGGGCGGGAATATACATTATTGCGCCGAGGAGGAGGACCTAGTTTTTTTGAGACGCTGTTAGGGGGTGGTTGAGGGAGAATGTTGGGTCGGGAATGGGGTGTGTACTCGGAGGGTTCGGTTGTATACGGTAGGGGTGAGGTCCCATTCGTGGACGCCTAGGCCGGCGTTGGTGTAGCCCCCTGTTGTATGGAAGTGTTTGAGTTAGGATTGAGCTGGGCTCGGTTGAAATGTAAGTGATGGTGCGTACATAGGAGTAGGGATTGAGTTAATACTGCGAAGATCTTTGGATTCATCATGATCAGTCATCGTATTGGTGTTGAGAGGGTAGTTTACTAACCCAGGATAATACAATGACGACTACATGAGATCTCCTGTAAGCAATTCATGTGACTGGAAATCCTCGAGGACATATTTGCATGCATCAATCATTTTAGAGGTACATGGGGCACACTCACCATCATCAAGCAGCCACTTCCGCACAATAACCACCCGCGTATATAGTCTCACCAGGAGACCTAACGTACTGATTGTTACACCTATAGTGACCACAACCAGGTTCGCAGTATAATAGTGCTTCTCTGGACTGTCTAAATCAGGCGTTACACCTACAGGTGCAGGAATAACGCCCGTGCCAGTCCCTGTCGAGGCAGCGGTGCTGGTGGCGCTCATAGCAGCGGCACACAAACATTATCCAACAACGGAGAAGAGAAACAAAGTTTTTTTTACTCTCCTCTCATATAGGTGCCAGGCACATAAAGCAGATTAAAAGGGCAGGGATTAGGTACACATGTGAACTTTCCTGATCGGAAGGATTCCGTCCGTTCGCGTCCGAGAGTCGTCAGGACCGGTAGCTGGAAATAGGTTAGTTATTCAGCCCCTGCTCTAGCCTGATAAATCGTAATGATGGTATCCAATAAGAAGTACAGTCTATTTGACTTAGTGTGCAAGCGAACTGAGCGTCTCAAGCCGATCTGCAGGAGGGTTATGGCAGGCTTGACTCGGCAGATGAGAAATTCATCTATTTGTGCTGGGCATGGAAGAACTTCGGCGGCCGAATCTAGATTGAACACTATAGGTACAGAAGGATGGGAAACCTGGTTGGTTTTGTTGCTTAGTGTGAAGAAAGCGAAGGGACGAAGGATCTGGTTAGGTGGGTGAGGTTGGCCTAGTCTGATGTCTTAGCTTTTATTGGAACTATGAGGGGCGATCGCGGCCACATTCCGATACTCCTGATCAAAAGTACTGTGCACCCACTTTGCATAAGTGACAGTTAAATAGCGGGGAGGACTGTTTATGCTTCTTGGTTGTTATGCTATCTGTAGGTTGAGTAACTGCCTGAACTCGAGACTGTAACATCACCACGCCAAACTTCCATCCGCACCCGCCTGTCCACAGTAATATGATAGTTCGTCTCCTCCGATGTGCTGACCCTCGGACTTGCAGTAGTACAAAAGGTCTTGGTCACTTAGTACTGTGCAATCCGGACATTGGTCCCATTGTTGGCTGCCTGTGTTGCGGTTCTTGTAAGAAGCGCAGGCCTTCTCCGTTGCTGCCTTGTTGAAGACTTTCTGTACAAGTTTCCGTTCAATCAACAGAATTCCCATGAAAATTATGGAATAGGATAACTCACCACGTCCTTACCAGGCGAGTCATAGCAGAGTCCTGTGTAATGGAGGTCTGCTAGCGCACTGCACTATGTTAGTGGCTGAGCTGCATCTCGAAGAATAGAACCTGATGCTTACCCAGTAGCGAAGACTGTGACAAAGATAGCTGCAAAATGCTTCATTGTGCTTGAGAAACTCTGAAGAAAGAGTGGTGCGTGTCGTTGAAGTCTGGTTCAGGGTAGTCCTTATTATCTTGTCGAAATTGACTGACTACAGCTCAGGAAATCCCGCAATATATGATGTCTCTAGCCAAGTCTCTCAGCATCTTTCAGAGCGTCAACTCTCTCTGGCTCTCCTACCACGTCAAAGGAACAGTATTTCCGAGTATCTTCCGCCATGATATCACCACCGTCAAATCATTAGTATACATCTCACCGACATGCCATCCTTCAAGCAAAGCAAGACCAGCAACGAAGATCACAATAACCTCAAGAGAAACATCCTCAGACAACATATAACTCAACCACAACGCTCAAGCTACATCTATGATACTATTACATCCCAGAGCATATCACCTGAGCAGCGACTGACCGCAGATCCACATGCATGTCTCATCCTTTGCCAAGTAGTCGATCCGTGAGTTCTTCCTATCTCAACGGGCGGAACGCACATGGCACAACCCCCTGAGCTAAATTAAATGGAGCAGCGGCAGACAAAATCATCTATTAAGGTTTTGGGGCGTGAAACGGGTGGACCCACTTGCAGCCTTGACTGGATAGATAGCGGCTCGATCCGTGGCTGAGATTGACAACCGGTTGTCTTGGTTAGGGCTACGGGCAAGAAGCGGATCGTGTAGTTTACTCAATTTGGTAGAATGTGGCTGCATAACTAGTCTTGTGCGACTTGTGATTATCGATCTTGTTTTTTTCGGGAGTTCCTCGGGGACTCTGGGGGATCTGCGTGAGAGTTTCGGACATCGTTGATCGATGTTGTATGTCGTAATCTTGGCGATGTCTATACTTCTTGGCGGAGTTGGATGATGTAGTAGGAGTAGTTGTGTAGAGAGGTGATAACAGGCACTTTTAAGATGCCTGGGGATATATGATATATAAGTCCATACTATTCTCGATAGAAGACACGAGACAGACTCAGCAAGTTCGGGGCCCCGTTTAACCATCAGAAGAAGATCGATCAAGCAACCGCACACCATGAAGCTCCCACTCCTCGTAACCTTCTTCTCCGCAACCCTTTCCTACGCCGTTCCAATCGCCAACACAACCACCATCTGCGGTCCCGACGAAGCAATCATCTTCCTAAACAACAACACCACTAAGACCATCAAGAAAGCCGACCTCACGTCCCAGATCCCAAGCCTCACCTACCTGTCATCCACCAACAATGACAGCACACCACCCCTGCTCATCACCAGCGCCTCCAGCCACAGGAACAACACCACCACCAAGCGTGGAAGCTCCACAAACCTGATAATTCCTCTGGAACCGCAGAGTTTCCTCGGCTGGGACATTGCCATGTCGACCATCACGCACGCCAACCAGGCCCCCGTCACCCTCGCCATCCAATCCGGCCAATCCATCGCAAACAGCATTACGACCGGCGCCTCGGCCGACTTCAGTCTCATCGAGGACTTTCTCTCTCTGACCACCAGTATCAGCTACCAGCACACCACGACGAGCACGATCACTGGCACCGTGACGATGACGATCCCCAAGGGTAAATGGGGCGCGATTGTGAGTAATCCGCTAACGCATCGGACTCGTGGGTATGTGTTCAATGGGGAGCCGGGCAACGGGGGCACGTTTGAGTATTATCAGGCGGATAGCTATGAGGATAGTAGCTATACATACGATGAGGGGAAGCTGGAGTGGGTCAAGGGGGTGGTTACGACTTGCTTGGGGGATGGGTATCCGTTGAAGAGGTGTGAGGGGGATGGTGTTTTGGAGTGAGGGTGGGATTCTGTTTATGGTGTGTGAGTATCATTGTGCTTTCAGATCAGCTTACAGTTGAGGGATTGGGTCTTATGTATCTTAAATAATGCTGCCAAGGCATCTAAAACTCCCCTAAGGTGTTGTGGCTTGAGGTGCTCATTGTGAAGCCTGGCTGTCTGCCATATGCGGAGAGTGTAACAACATCTGCGTAGGAGTCGGTTTATAGCCAAACGATATTCAACACAGTCCTGAGTAGAAGACTGAAGTTTTCATCATTAGCGCATGGTGTGTTTCAGGAGACATGTGCTAGTCCCCTTTGAACTATATCATATATTCACCGTCTCCGATCTGTTCAGTTCCTTTTTCGATATGCATATAATTTACAGCGTCTGCTCTCATGTAGCTTCTGTATCATTCTAAAAAAAGAACAAAAACAGCATTTCAATTGAGGTGAAGCTTTGTGTTATTTGGAACCGGTGGACTTCTCCATGAATGTCGTAGTACTGTAAGCCATGGATACCAAGGCGGTGGCCACCGTGCATATTGACCGCATACCTCCGCCCCTTTCTGTTTCCTTCCTCGCATCATCGATCATACTCACACCTTGATATCGAAGTCTCTGTTTACATAAAAACACCTATGCATGATACACTAAGAGAAGAGTGTGACCGTTTAATACGGCCACCGCAACTATCCTTGGTCAGTGTTTAATGACATGATAGACCGACCGTGCTAACACCCAAGTCCTAGATTCTTAGCGATAACAATGTCCTCCAATTGGAGGAGCAACAACTTCAAGATGCACTCGAAAAGAGTCGAGAATACTGGTATCCAATTGCAAATTTAGCCTTTCAGCTACGCGAATTAGGATTAAGTTCAGATTTTACAAAGCCCCGTCTCGCTCTACATAGAATCCCGAAACTTCAAGTTCGTTCTGGACGGCTTCACGTTCGCCCATATGGAATGACTCCTTTACGCAGTCTTTGCTGTGAAGCTTCTTCAATCTGGACTCTGTCTACAGATCAGGATTGCGGCAAACTCAAGAAGCAGATATCACACCTCACTTTCGTCCAAGTTGGCACTGCTGCTGCTACATCTTTTAGCTTTATCGAGGACGCGTTCAGTTCATGGGACGGCATGAGCGGAGGAAATGTTATTGGACCAATTTATCTTGGAATTCTCGCCCTTGGATGGTGCTATGTACTATCTGCACAGCTTGTTGAGATGCGAGGTGAAGGCTCTTCTATGCAGTACTCTCTCTACCAGACAGGATACAGCAATGAGAGTTTACCCGATTCCTCACAAGTCCACGTCATCGATGTTGGGGAGGTGGACGCGAGCGTAGCTCGCTGGTGGTCTGCACTACTCGCACCGAATGAAGGATGGAAAGCTACCGTGAAGCAAACGCCCCAAGGGGAGTTCCTAGCCCCGTGGTCAGTTTCCCGTGCCTGCGAAACGCATTTCTCGATTAAACATAAGGGGACCCTCTCTCCAGACCCTGACCCAACGCCCTTATCTTCAGAGAGAGCATTTGAGGCACTTGTTGAATTCGCACGTCTGCATGAATTGCAAAGCCAGTCCCCCATTGCTCTTACGATGGCTCTGACAATCCCCGCACATAAGTATTATAGGTTTTCTGCCAAACTGCCTCTTCCCCGGGCTACTGGTTTTAAATCAATCACTACACCTAGCGATGCTGAATGGATGAACTTGAAAGAAGACGTGCCCTACTACATGACCCTGAGTTGCAGCCCGGAAGTAATGATGTCAACCTTTTGTGGAGCATTCTGGGAGCAAGATGTCCCCTGCAATCTTGTCAGCCCATGGTTGCACCCGATCATCAATGAAGTCCTAGGTGCTTTACCAGAAGATGGACTAGAAGTCCTTGCATTCATAGGTACAATCTGCCAGCCACGTTTCAGCGCATTCTGGATCGGGGTTATCGCCAGCGGCCTAGGCCCAGAAATTCTCCACAGAGTAAGAGGAGGCCATCCACCTCTTGACCGGGTCGCCTTTCCCTGGACGGGGTGTCCACAGAGCTTCATGGACATTGCAGGATCAGGCCCATACACTTGTAAAGATCCGAATTACATCTTGAGAGAAGATGTCTGGCGATTAACGAATTATCCTTCAACCGACGGGGACAATGAGAGCTATCAACATGGACCTAGAGTACCTTGGGCGCCGTGCGGAGCATCTCTCACAAAGGACTGTGCTCTCTATGTCACTGCACACTTGGACTGTCCCAGGCATGGATATGAGTATGACCATTGGGTGTGGTACTTGCCGGGTGGTACTATAATACAGGACCGAGGTTTCTCGGAACGAATAACGCCAGCTGTATCAGAGAGTCATTTCGACAATATCCATTTAAAGACACGTAGGGAGTTTGAACGAACACAGCTTGATCAGGAAGCTTCCAGAGAAGCATCAGGGCAAGTGTTCTTATGGTTCTTTTTCGGTGGAGAAGGCTTACCCTCGGAGAGAATTTATCAGGAGGAATGGCTCAAGGAGATCTGGGAAAACAACATGAGTGAGTTTGGTGGCGGCGAGTTTGATGATGGAGAAGTACCGGAACCGGTCGTCAAATTTGGGGAGTTTGTTGATTCATGGCTGGATACTGTTAGTTGATACTGCCTAGGTGTCGCACAAGTTGCTTATTGGGGGTAATAGCTTTAGTAGGAAGTAGTTTACGGCACATAATATATGATTGCCTGACATTTTCCTATCCTTACATGGCATTCATCCTTCTTGCTGTCTTCCAGGGAAACTTCGCATCATCGATCACAATCACCTCCCGACAGCTCACGAATCAGCCCGAAACCACTGCCACATATCTGGAACATCGATCCAGGAAAGAAGACCGAGGTCATCCTCAAACGTGCTGGTGCCAATACCAGAGTCTGTCCAATTTGATGAGTCAAGTCCAGGGGTATCCTGGAAGGATGACGTGTTCGGACCATTGAGGGCAGAGTAGGGTGCATCGGCTTCGTCTGTCAGATTTCGATCGGGATTCAGTTCCACATTAGGATTGGGCCTAGATGAGGGACGGCCGTGGATATTTTGACTGAAAGCCGCCTGTAAGAAGCGAAGCGATGTCCGTGCAGATTGGCTGAATGTACCCATGTGTGCGAGGATCTTCTCGCATTTCTCCCAGGCTTCTTGGACTCTGACAAAATCAATCGAGTCGGATAGTGAGGGTACTGAGTGGGCCATTATGAGAACGAGGGCACATGTTGATGTGTCTGTTTCCGATAGTCAGTTTGATGATTCAGCTTGTACCGTGACATGCTCTGACATAGAGTTGAGGAGAGAAGAGCCACGAATGACCACAAGAAGATGAAAGGGAGAATGGGTGACCACTTACAAAAGCCATTGTACCACCACGCATCAGTGTATGGTGTCGAGTATGTCTCATAGATCAAGTGAATAAGCTCAGTTGCAGTAGACACACAGGTAGCGGCACATTTATCTACTATGCAGGATTGTAAGGTGCTCTCGGCATCTTTCCAGGCCGGATGTTTGTCTTTTCGGGATTCATGTGAGTACTGTGGCGAAGTATAATCTGAACACACCTGGGTAAAGATTGGTCGGTAGAGAAGTAGCCGGATGTAGTAGTACCTGAAACACTAAGTATATGTGATACTTTGATATTGGGCTACGGCGAGATTGCTTACCGTGAACGAAGAATATTTCGTTGACGCTCTATGATATCCGATTCCTCAAGGTGGCACTCTGGGCAACTAGAAGCGCTCCAGCTTAGATAGGGTGGTAGGGTGTCCTTGAAGGACTGTAGCTGCCGTTCCAGTTCTAAAAGGGAATCGAAGTTTCCTTCGGACCATGGTGTCGATTTTTTTGATTCCTCATTGAAACGGCCTCGCCACATGTTATACACATCTGAAAGAATCCTATCCAGAACTCGATAGAGCTTGATAGTTGCCACGTAGAACCCCATAGTAAGAGGAACGTCCTTCCCTGTGGCAAAAGGCAATGGAATCGGGGCGAGATGGCTGGTCATGCTTGGCCGACCGTGTGTCATGCTCACGAACCTAGACAGTGAGTCAGTCAGGTGAATAGAGCCGTTCACAGTGGAGCACTTACACATCTAGCATAACACATCCATGCCATGTCCTGCGCCGTACTTCCGTTTCTAAAACTGTCATCGAGGACGCATTGTTGGTTTCATGTAAGCCCAGGCCTTGGGCGAGGCGGCATGCTAACCCGATTGCATTCCAGCATCTACTGGGGTACGGGCTGCTCTGCAAGTATAGAGCGACAATAAGAAGAGTCTGAACCACCCCGACTGTATGGATCTTGAGGAGATCAAGTCCTACGAAGCGTTTGCAGCGGAGAAAGAAGGAGTGGGCTGTTGCCTCTCGCTCCTGCAGCGGAAGGTTCGAGAAATGGCATCCAAGCGCAAACATCCCATTTAGAGCGCAATGGAGCACAATCGACTTGGGAGACGAGTCAGACCTTCCTCCGAGGCCGATATGCATGTCTGGTAGCTTGTTCATACCATCCCTTTCCGACTTCCACAGGTTATCGTACGCTTTCTCGAAGCTGGGTCGATCGAAGAAAGGGTAGATACAAGCCACACGGTCAAAATAGCAATTCAGAAGGCGATCTGCTAGTGAGCGGGGTGGGAGTGTGAAGTCATTGAGTCGGTACTGTGTGTTAGGTGACTCGTGATACTGGTAATCCATTGGGGTATTGGTACCACCTTTGGCCCGGGGCGAAGATTGCAACGGAACAGACAACCGTGCAAATCTCATCAGTGATGCAATGGAGGAAGATCCATAGAATTCCCGAGGTGGAGCTGGAGATGCCAAGGTATCATCTGGCGTCGAAATCTGCCCCATTGCCGTGACACGGCCCGGGGTGTCAAAGTGTGGAGATGCGGATTTCTGCTCCCCACGGAGGGAATTGCGGTTCGGATAGTTCCGAGTATGGTTGGACATATTTTGAGATGTCTCTTCTGCTTCCTGAAGAGAAGGTAGAGAATTCTGGGGCGGATGATCTCTTGGGACTGTTCTTGAAGTATGCAGGCTCCGGCCATCCGAAAGCCGCTTATTGTGGGGAGAACTGTTACTTTCTTGACACACTCGGCTACCTTGGGTAACCCCTGAGGACGTCGACTGCCGATTCCGATTCAAATACTGAGATTCATGTGAAGGTGAGCCGTTCTGGTGTGGTGAGTCCCTGTGTAGATCCGGTGCTGACACCCTGGCCCGTAGACATAGATCCTCGAGTTCAGTGATGCGCGACCGTAGGACCCGGATGTACCTGTTCTGTCAGCGAAATCACTGACTACTTTTATTAGAACTAACTCACTCATCCTGACAAGCGGTCCTGGGGTTATCCATGCTGTATGAGCATTGGGCAATTCCATAGGACTTTCGGACGCATGACCCACAGATCGGTTTGCCTCCATCACAGCGGATCTTTTTCTCCCGGCATGGATCGCACGCCAATGCAACTTTCCGTCGCATGGTACGCTGCTTGGCAACACCGCTAGATTTTGGGGGCATCTTGTCCTTTCCTGAGCTTAACTAGAACATTTGCTTTGCTGCCACAAGGTTTTGCATATTGATGTTATTCAGGAGCCAGCCAGCTGGTCGTTGTGGCACCGGTCAGCTGATCGTGGACGGGCCCCGGAACGATCCGAACATTTGCAGTTGAGACAATCCCCTTCTTTTGTGACTTCTGGTGTGCAGAGAAACAACCCGTCTACTGCAATAAGCCATGTTTAGAGACCATTGAGGTTGTATCATCATAAATTCTTATAATGTCTCATCTACAATGCGAAACAGCGAGTCAACAGCTGGCCGGATATCTCGGCAAACCTGGTAAACCTTCTGCTCGGGATGCACCCGAGACGTGACGCAGTGGCTGAATTCAGATGATGTATTTCCTGTATATAAACCTTTGATTTTCTGTCAATCATTCTCATCTTGTCAGTACATAGAGTACACTTTCTGAACCTCGCTTGTCTTGAAGAACAATGTCGAAGATCGATACCCATCATCACTTTGTGCCGCAGTTCTATGCCGAAGGTACGCCCACGTTCGCCCAGACTATATCTCATCATACATCCATACTGACGTCGCCTGTTTGAACGGCTTAGCGGTCGAAAATGCAGGAGGTGACCCCTCCGGCTGGCCAACTCCGAAATGGAGCGCTGAAGCATCACTGGCTTCTATGAATAAGAATGGCACCCAGAGAGCGATCTTGTCTTTAACAGCCCCCGGAGCTGTCATCGCTCCGAACGACAACGGCCGGCGCGCCTTGGCCCGACAGGCAAACGAGTATACGGCCCAATTGAGGGACGAGCAACCAGAGAGATTTGGGTTTTTTGCAGCATTGCCGTGCCTACTAGACACCGAGGGCACACTCGAAGAAATTCGGCACAGTCTAGATGTACTCAAGGCTGAAGGTGTAACCCTATTCACCAGATACGGCACCGGAAATCACTATCTAGGTCATCCGGACTTTCGCCCCATTTGGGAGGAGCTCAACCGTCGCAGAGCCGTTGTGTTCATCCATCCTACCCACCCGGCTGATACCAACCGTGTTAACCCTCAGCTACCTCAACCAGCCATTGATTATCCCCATGAGACCACTCGCACTGCTGTGGACCTTCTTACTACAGGAACAAAGGCGGCCTTTCCTGAATGCAAAGTCATACTTTCTCACGCCGGTGGCGCTCTCCCTTACCTGATTTCTCGCTTGACTACCGTCACCAAATTTCCCGAGGCGGAGTACAAACCCTATAGTCGCGGCCCAGAGGAGATGGTGGAAGACTTCAAGTCATTCTATTTTGACTTGGCTCTATCCTGCTCACCGACTGTGCTGACTCTCCTACTGAGCCTTGTGCCTCATGATCACATTGTATATGGTAAGGACGCCGCCCCTTTCCCAAGACCTATCACATATATACTGTGATCTGATGCTAACAGCTGCAGGTACCGATTTTCCTTACGCCAATAACAACAAAATTGCTGGGTTCAAGGAGGCTCTGGATGAGTATCCTCTAGACCAAGACTTGAGGGACCGAATCTACTACGCAAATGCCCAGAAACTTCTCGCTCGTCACTGAGCGATACGGTGACACAATTTCTGGGATTCGCGAAATGCGTGAAAGGCTTGTATATATCCTTACGTTCATTATAGTACATAAAATGCTAACAAAAGCCCATCGCACTCTGGTAAATTCAGCAGCACATCCTTGTTTGGTGGCTAAAAAAGTGATAACATAATCAAGCAAAACGCTTGTAGAAGAATTGCATGTATCCCAAGCTGCACCTTCACAGGCAGGTAGCCTGATTATGGTTTTCCTCTGTTCAGCTAGGAATTCCCATTCCCATCAGTACCATTTCATTCGCACACCATGGCTACATCGACAACAGTCACCTTACAACAACATCTGGGCTCTCTCAGACCAGTATTCCCAGAGAGTAATTATTGGCGCCAGACATTGCCGTTAAAACTTTTAAGAACGTGATCCGGAGCGCCATAAGGTCAAAAAGTACCAAGTAGACCACAGCCATGCAAACGAACAAGAAGAGTCTTAATTCAAGACCCATCTGGCTTAGAGGCTTGGTTCTCTGCTGGGAGACCTAGTCCTTTTGTGTACGAAAGTCTGATCTTAACCAGTGACTGGGCTTGAAGTTCAGCCAGACCAGGCGGGAAAGGTCTCATGTGAAGCATGGCTGGGGTCGCATGAGATTATGGTCTATTTAAAAAGAAGCCAATGTTGCCCTCAGCGCCACCTAATTATGTGACAGGGATTCTTTCCAATTGGGTTAATGTTACATAGAGCCTTACAGGTAGAAGCTACAGGGACCTTGGGTCTTCCACCTTCAACTATCGCTCATGCACCATTGCTTGTAAGCTCTTATCCAATCTCATGTATCCTAGCTGTACCCAAAAGTGCGTATCTGCTTGCATTAGATGAGCTACATGCTATTTAAATAGATTTAGGTATCCTTAGATCTTATCCAATACAGAAAAAACTAGGCGAGTCGTGTTTCGAATGCAACTGGACCCTTTACCCCCCAAAAGTTACCCGCCTCTTTTAGCATGTCTAGGTTCGCTGTCATTCGGTAGATATAACTTAGGCGACTATTGAAATATTGTGTTGACGTTTTCGTGGGTCTACACGGCCATAGACTGGAAACAGATGCGGAACCTCCTAACTCGATCAAGAACAGTACTCTTCTTCCTCATTTGGATTTTTCACCACCCTGAACGACAGGCGCAATAAAAGCATCTCAGTAGCAGCTCTCGGAATCAGTTATCCTGGCTCTTCGTGCATGCATCAATTCTGAATATTATGCAAATCATCCAGGGATTTATCCGATTAGCAGTGCCGCATATCCGGATTCTCCACGGAACCTTCCGGCGGTATAGCCAGGAGCCTCGGGTACGTCCCGGGTGCTTAGACATTCCTCAAGTTAACTTTCCTATATTGTACGTACGATATCTTAAGAACCCCATATCATCATATGTATTCTAGTACTGTTGGATGACAGGAATTATGGACAAGGTTGGTTGCATAAAAAACTTTTGACTGGTCGCATCGGCCCTTGGGGTCAATAAGATTCACACCCAACATCGCTTTGTCCCTAGTTCTATGAAAACCATTGTCAGAGAGTAGAAAACTCAGAAACGAAACTCGAATGTGATGTTTAATATATGATGCTTTAGATGCCGCCAGCTACTTCGGAGTCATATTCACGGGCGATCAGGACGAGACGAGTCGGCTTCCAGCGATATGAAAGACTACCACCAAGGCATCCGCACCTAGAGTGCTTCTCACCGGTTCATCAGGGGCTTAATCGACACTATTGCATAACCTGAAACAGGCCAATAAAGGGTATTTTGATGTTGCCGGTTCCTGAGACATTTTATGGAAGACCGCGTATGTTGTGTCTGAATAACCACATCACGCATCGTATGGATCCTTGTAGAGGAACACAAAGCGCCACTAAAAGCAACCTTTATGGTTTGTTTTCTGTATTTCCAACCTCGGACTCATCGCTCTCCGGATGCAACACAAATCAAGGACAAAAGCATCCTATAATGCTCGTAGCACTGCTGTGAGACCTCCAGCTTCTATTAGAGCATCCAGTTCACTTTCCTCCCTTCAACTGCTCATCTGTGACCTTGTGTTCACCTCTCACCTCCAATATCAGCCAGCCAGTTCCAATGTCTGCTTTACCACATATTCAAGATAACAGTGGAGCAGCCTGTGAGAAGGAGACTGTTGTGGAAGAAGTTTTGTCTGGCTCTACGTCAAGTAGTAATATAAATGTGCCACAGCAGATAGATACAGTCGGCTCACCGACATATCCCCCACTTGCCAAAACCATCCTCGTCGCTCTCGCTTTGTATATTGCTGTATTTCTCGTGTCTCTGGTAAGTTATGGAAAGCCACTATCTGAATCCTTTTAAATGACTGACTCTATATCCGGGCATTGCCAGGACCGCCTGATTGTGGCTACGGCAACTCCGAAGATCACTGATCACTTTCATAGTATTGGCGATATCGGCTGGTATGGAAGCTCTTATATGTTAGCAGCGTCTGCGTCCCAGCTTACATACGGTCGCATCTACACTTTCTATCCGATCAAATGGGTTTTCCTCCTCTCCATTTTTATTTTCGAGGTCGGCTCCGCTATCTGCGGTACTGCGCCCTCTTCCTTCATACTCATCCTGGGCCGCGCGATAGCAGGCCTTGGAACAGCAGGAATATACTCCGGAGCCGTTATTATAATCGCTCTTACCGTGCCCCTTCGCTTGCGACCGGTGTTTCAAGGAGCCGTTGGTGCTATTATCGGCATATCATCGGTGTTGGGCCCGATTCTTGGTGGAGTGTTCACCACAGAGGTCAGCTGGAGGTGGTGTTTCTACATCAACTTGCCCCTGGGAGGACTTGCGGTGGTCGCCATATTCTTTCTGCTAGACGTTCGTCCACCTGAAAAGGGGGACTGGAGTCTCAGAGAGAAGTACAATCAACTCGACCCCATCGGGAACCTGCTAATGGCTCCTGCTGTAACCTGTCTCCTTCTTGCACTCCAATGGGGCGGTACCACGTACAACTGGAGCAACTGGCGCATTATCTTCCTCTTCGTTATGTTCGGGACATTATTCGGCATCTTCACAATTGCAGAGTACCGTCTCAAAGAAAAAGCAATGGTTCCCCCTCGCATCTTCAGACAGCGTTCAGTCCTTGCAGGAATTGTGTTCACCATGTGCACTAGTGCAAGCACTATGGTCATGCTTTACTACCTTCCGATCTGGTTCCAAGCCATCAAGAACGTCGATGCCGAAAAATCGGGCATTATGAATCTCCCTCTCGTTCTCGCCATGGTGGTAGGCTCCATCGGTTCTGGCTCCCTCGTCAGCCTTCTGGGTTACTACAACCCCTTCATGTTTGCAGGCGTTATTTTCATGTCTATTGGAGCTGGATTACTCAGTACATTTCAACCGGACACCGACCACCCCAAATGGATTGGGTATCAAGTTATCTTCGGTTTTGGCCTAGGTCTTGGTGTTCAACAAGCGAATGTCGCTGTGCAGACGTGCCTAGATCCTGTCGATATTCCGGTCGGCGCATCGCTTCTTATGTTTTCGCAACAGTTAAATGGGGCAGTGTTTCTAGCGGTCGCACAGAATCTTTTCACGAACTTTCTTACAGCAAATTTGGATGACATCGAGGGTATCTATGCAACATGGGTCATTGCAAGTGGCGCAACTACCATACGAAAATTGGTGCCACCTGCAAAGCTGCCAGTGGTTCTTAAAGCGTATAGCGACGCCATCATGAAGACATTCGTTCTGGCGTTAGCAATGTCTTGTCTGGCTCTGTTCCCGACACTTGCTATGGAGTGGAAAAATGTAAAGAGGGTAGCTAAAGGTATTGAGAATGGTGATGATGCATCAAGGAGTAGTGATAGCAAGGGCCAGCCATTGGAGGCATGCTGAGCTATGCCTAGAGAGTTTGGAGAACGCAAGGGAGCTTCTTTCCCATATCTAACGTTATTCGCATCGATTAGCTTAGGTATTGGTCTAAGAGATATCTACACAGAAGTGCCTGTCTAAGGAGATATCAGCGTCTCACCCAGGTACTTATCCTATAAATACAGTGTCAAAGTAGAAGCTTTTACCATCATTCCTTGTTAAGCACTATTTGAATACTTTATTCACAAGGTGTACCCGGTAGGATGTAAAGCACAGTTACTGCAAATTCATCGACACCCAAGTATTAGCTCTGGGCACGCGTAACATCGATACAGGTCATGTGATAGAGAGTCGCGCTGCTTGCTTGCCTGTGCTATAACATACCTTCTGCCTAACTCCTCTCCGATTATCAACTGTCGCGCGCAGAACGCTTTGAAGTGATGGCAACATACCAATGATTTTGTCCACATTTTCCCAGTCCAGAACTCCTCGTGCTCATCTTTCTTGGATAGAGAGTGAACTAGAGTGAACTGAGTGTAAACGACTCAGTATGTCGGGCAAAATACTAAGCGCTGTGAGTTACCGACTGATGACCGGAGAATAATGTTGGCTGGGAGTGTGACCCTCGTGTATCTTGCAAAGTTTGACTCATTCGGCGACGCTGATAGGTTCTGGGTTACAGAACACCCATACCATCCTGACTGCCTGTTAGTGGAAATTTGAGCGATGATTTGAGGAACTCTCCAACACACCTAACACCGGTCTGGGGAGTGACGAATCATTTCGAACCAATGTTGAGCGCGCAAGAATGTGCGGGGGACGCCTGGGTTGGTTCGGGAATCCTAGGCTATAGCAGCAACTCTCGTCCTACTTGATCCAATGAAGAAAACACCGCATTTGATCATCCAGAGCCCATCAAGAGGGGTGGCGATAGAAACCCCGCTTCAGGTTTGGGAGTGCATCCAATTCAGGAAGGAAGGAAGTGTCGGGGTTGGATTCCAATAGGGGTCGCCATTACACGCGCTTAGTGCGATGTATCCCACAATCACAGGTGTGATGGTTCTTGAAAGAGCGGAGACATATCCATGATCCAAAGGCGCATTCAGCCTAGCACCGCCCACTGATACCGTCTGGGTCAGCCGATGGCCACATATTCATGTCACCATTGTGAGATTGGCGTCTATTCTCGCTCTCAGTCACTCGACCAACTCAGCCGCCAGCAGGCTTGGGTAGCCAAAAAGCGAAGCATAAGCGCTGTCCGGCAGGATTTCGTTAAATTCAGCGTGGTGTGTGGAACGGATACAGTGCATTAGCTTCTGGGCCGCATCCAAACGCAACCTAGCGGAATTTACAGAGCCTAATTGGCGAAAAAGGATCTTCGGACGGCTGAGCCAAGAGTTTCTATGTGATACCCCGCTCCTCCGATCGAGGGAATGTGATGCCGTCAATGTAGCGAGATAACGCAAGTGGGCGTAACGCCTGAACTTCCCGGCCAGCTCCTACAGGGATCGGGGCGGCTAACCTGAGTCACCATGCGTAAGGCCATCAATCAGAATGACCCAGTTTATCGACGGTGTTCCGAAGGTCAACCGCAGCTGCAGTAGCGGCTTCTAGTTCTTAGCGGTTAGCTTAGCGGGAGACACCAAGCAGTATGCGGCACAGTGAGCTTGCAGGCGGGAAACAAGGCGCGATATTATCGCCAGGACAAGTTGTGATTCTAGGCCCACCCTACTTCGTATCATCTGGCGGCATGAGAGAGCATCGATAATATTGCGTCTTTGACGACATTTAAGGAAGATGGCTCGCCTTTCATCGACAATATCTCAGAGTTCAGCTCTGGATGAGAATCTTTTCTTTCTATGGAACATAAGATCTACAGCATCTCTCAACCAGTGCTTTCACAAATATTTTAAAGGCAATCCACGTAATGTTCGGTGCATTTCGCTGCAACAACAGTACGTCTAAGAATTTGGAGTTCATTGATTTATCGAGAAAGGTCGGTATGGATTCTCGCAATTCTGCTGTACTGGTAGGTGATCCATTCATTATCGTCTGGGCGACATATATTGGCGATGCTGACATGTTGTCATCAGGCGTGTGAACCGTGCCGGGCTCAAAAGGTCAGTCAGTCAGCGATCAAACCCTGGGTAGGACTAATACTTGTATAGCTCAAATGCAATGGTGATCTGTATGGCTGCGAAAGGTGCCAAGAGTCATCTACCGATTGCACATACCGCACCCCTACGCCCTTATCCTCCACGCCGTTAAGCTTGAAACATCCCGCCTCAGACCTCCCGGCACTTCCCTTGAAGCGGCGGCGGACCAATGGTGTCGGAGCACTGCGTATACATTGCCCGTCGCCAGTTGGACCAACCCCCAGAATACAGTCACCACTATTACGGCCCGAGCCTGTCTTGATCAATTCCTACCAAGACTGGGGTCAATTTTGCAACATGAACACGACGGAACACCCAGGGCTGAACTTAACTTTAGACGATAATATGCCCTGTTACCCAACGGCTCCTTTGATCTCAGAGGCACATCTGAAGCCCTCCCATTTGGTGTCGCCAGCTACATCGTATTCAAGTGAAGGCGGCCCCAGCGTTTTTGTTCGAAACCCTCATACGCCTGTCACTTCACAGGACCCGTCTAAGGATCAGGGCCAGAATTGCAAGTGCATCCACTCGCTTGCCGACACGCTGGAGAGGGTTGGAGGTGACAACGACCAAAGGAGTAATATCGACCACAGTGAGCGTCTTGATTACTTGCTCACGTCTCTGCACACCGGTGTTGATACATGTACCCGGGTACTTGATTGCACCAACTGCGATATTTGTGCCACAAACTCAATGATTTTTATGGCTTTAATTCAGCAGCTTGCCATAAGGTCGAGAGATCTTTGCGACCTACTACTATCGCTCCAGGACAAGCCACAGAGGACCTTGCCAGACGACCCAGCAGATCTCCAGCCCGAAGCTAGCGTCTTCATAGGAAGGTATCAAATTCAAATTGAGGCTGTATGTCGGGAGCTCGTCCACACTTTGGCGAACATCCACTTCAGAGATCTTCGTCGCTTACTAGCACGACTTCCTGATATGATTGGAAAAAAGCCAAGGGCGAATAAGATGCTTACTGAGGCCACTGAGACTTCCGAGAAGGCGTCTCATATTCTTGAAGGGATTCTAGTCAAGCGCGCTGCTGAGAAGGCAAAGAATCACGAGTTATACGGATTGATTACGCAGAGAGGTCCTTAAGGGGTTGCTCGTTACTTCTATGCAAGGTAAGCTAACATCATTCTTCTGATTGCGCATAACCTTCTTCTAATGACCCGTTTTCATATATAGATCATCCCGTTTTCTCTTCAGTCACCAACTCGCTTAGCTCGACCACCAACACCAGTTCCAAGTTCTTCCTGGCAAACACTATGGGACAAATTGCACATTCTCGGACTTTGGGAGTTCATTGGGGAACAATGTTGGACTGAGCATTTTCATTGTTAATACAAGCGTTTTTCATAGCCGATTTTTCAACGATATCAAACTACTTACATTCTGCATTATGCATCGTACATAAAGCAACGCATCCAACAACCCGTCCCTACTCCTGAGTTGGCTTGTTCGGGGCACCCTTAACCGGAATTCTGATCGAGCCGTCCTCACGCTTGGCTGGGGCGCCCTTGACAGGAATCCGGATGACGCCGTCGGTTTCTTTCTCTGGGGCGCCCTTGACTGGAATTCTGCTTACACCGTCGTCCCGCTTAGCAGGAGCACCCTTCACTGGGATGCGGATGGAGCCGTCGTCACGTTCAGCCGGGGCGCCCTTGACGGGGATTCTGATAGAGCCATCCTCGGGTACCGGAAGTGGGCTTGCTAAAGTGGTAGCGATGAGAAGGGCGCTTGCCTGGAGGAAGATGGCCGAGAGCTTCATGGCTAGATTTCGAGTTGGCAATGATGGTAGTACCAAAATAATAGTGAAATTTCCTGTGTTGGGGGTTACAGTGGGAACTAAGTACGGCGGAGGCTGAGCGATACCGCTTGCTTATGAATATCCCATAGATTGATCCCTTATCCCTGTCGCCTAATAGTCCCATGCCTCTAGAACTAGTAGTAATAGCCATACAACCGCACCAATCTCAGAATCTCTCCCGTAACTCCGAATGAGCAACAGAAGGTCCAACCACAGCGAACATTGCGAAGCACCTCCACTCCTCCTTCTAAAAAGGAAATTTCACCCAGAAAGAGACAGCCTCCATAATGAGACAATTCACCCGAAGTGGCTTAGGGCACCATGTTCGCCGCTGCGAATAAACCAACCACGTGCCATGGATAGGATACGCACATGGACTGATGCGAAACACGCATATACTCGAACAGGAACGCATGCAGCCACATGAGAGGAGACACATGCATGTTTATGAAATAGGAAGGTCGATAAATGGCAAAGGGAGGCCAGATCGCGCCGAACTGGTTCGAACCCCTCATTTAATATGCTAGTCTGGTGGGGCTGTCGGGGCTGAGTGTGATAGCTTCAGTTAGGCTGATTGCTACTACGGATGAGGTTTCGGGGATGTATGCGAATGGGATGTCACATTATTTTTGGAGTAGGAAGCGTTGGTTACTGGCTGGGAGGGTAAATTGGTGTTGTTTAGGTTGATTGGTGGATTAGGTATGTCTGGATACAATTGCGGTTATCCGATGTTCGGAGGATGATATCGCTCCATATTGAGGCTAGTAGTGGCATAGCTTAGCTTCATATTACTATGAAAATGTCTTTTTAATTGGCGTTGTATGTGCTGTGCCGCAGTTACTTATCTTGTGAGCGTTTGGAAGCAGTCTGCATTTCTACATCCCCTTTGTCACACCCAAAATCCGGGCGATCCATTAAAGCCATCATGGGCTTCGAGTACGAACAGTAATCACTTCCCTCCCTACGATCCACACTATATACACACAGACTAATCACAGGAACGCACGAAGGGTAACCAACGCCCGCTCCGATCCTGAGCTGGCAAGCCCCAAAGACGCAGGCGATGAAGAAGACGAGGCTCTCCTACAACCCAACACAACCAACAACAACAACAACAACAACAACTCGTCTCTCAAATACTACCCCTCCTACCTCCTCAACCACATAAAAAACCTCCTGCTCTCAACCCCAAAATCTCTCCTCCTCCGAAACACACTCATCTTTTTCCTCGCCATCTGGGGCCTCATCAGCCTCTCACACACCCTCATCCTCTCCATCCTTCCCATAAATACGCACCCTCCCACCCCCAAGACCTGCCACTGCGGAAACTCCACCACCGAAGCCCTCACTCTAGGGTGCAAATTCGACTCCCTAGCCGCAGCCTGGCTACCACCACACTGCCGCGACGACGAGCTCACCGCGGAGTTTGAGCGCGCTGGGCCAAATCCCGACGGGAGCTGGACATACTACGCAGACGATTACCACACCGTGCCCATGGCTATTGAGGAGGTTGCAGCGCTGGCGGATAATCAGTCTGCCAGAGTGCAAATGACGAGGGACTGGCATGTCGTGCATTGTTTGTTTTATTGGAGGAAGATGTTCCGCGTTAGGGACTTGGAAGGGGTGATTGTGGAGCCTAGCTTTGATCATGAGGAGCATATTAAGCATTGTATTGGGGTGGTGCTGGAGGATAGTTGGGGGACTGAGGCGAGGGTGGCGTTGGATACGTAGGTTTTTATGGGGGAGATGGGGTGATTGTATTGTATTGCTATCTATGGGGTTCATACAATATGCTATTTCTGATTATCACTCTGACACTGGGTATGCAACTGGTCCGCCTGGGGAAGTTGGTAGTCTAGCAGTAAGGACCTCGACTCCGTCGGCTGTTACTAGAAGGGTATGCTCTGCGAAAGTGTCAGTACACATAAAACTTTGTATCCTTGTAGGGATATTTCACTCACCAAACTGCGCCGTCCTCTTCCCATCCATCGTCACCGCCGTCCAATTATCCGGCCAGATTATATCCCTATACGTTCCCAGCGCCACCATTGGCTCAATCGTAAAGCACATACCCTCCTTCGCTGCTCCGACAGCCTTATTTCCTGCGTAATGCGGCACGCTTGGCAAACAATGAAATACTGAGTTGATCCCGTGTCCACAGAAAGATCGAATCACACTGCAGTCTCTCTTCCGCGCATGCGCTTCAATCACATCCCCATAAGCCCGGAACAACGCCCCAGGCTTGACCAGCTCAATCGCCATGTCCAGACACTCCCGGGCTGTTTCGACGACCCGGACGGACTCGAGATCCGCTTTAGCCTTGTCCCCGACGTAGTATGTCTCGTTGAGATCGCCGTGGTACCCGCCGTGGTAAAGCGTGACGTCGATGTTGAGGATGTCACCGTCCACCAGGACGCGCTGATCGGGGATACCGTGGCATATGACTTCGTTGAGGGAGGTGCAGACGGATTTGGGGAAGAAGTTGTAGTTTAGTGGGGAGGGGTAGGACTGCATTTCTTTTGCATTAGCACCTCTGTGAGACTTTTAGGGGATTGTAAGAAAGGGGAGGTGGGCATACATCACGCTCTATACACGCCTTGTGCACAATCTCATCAATGTAATCCGTTGTCACCCCAGGCTTGATGGCAGCTGCTGCGATGTCTAGGACTTCGCGGGCGAGTCTGCAGACCTTTCGCATGGCATCCTGACCTGCCTTATCTAGGACGGTGAATTTGGCTCTCCGATCGTAGAAAGATTGTGCACTTTGTGGAATGCCCCCCTGCCAGTAGTCTGGATGTTGGATGGTGGTGGGGACTGTGCGACGCTCGGATAGTGGGTAGACGGGTCGGAGCGAGCCGGTGAAGTTGAATGATAGAAAGGGATTGTACAGAATAGTTTCTTATACGTATTTCTCAGTCCCAGGTTGATGATTTGGATAACGCCGTAAGAACTTACGCTTTGTTCGGTGGATGGCTTTGTGTATTTTCTTGGCTGTTATCAGTTTTACTAATTCGATGGGTATACGACGTAGTACTCACCCAGCTACGCTGGAAGCAATCTTGTGAGCAGAAGAAGCTTCCTCTAATCTCTAGTTTGAGACAGGTGGGACATTGCAGCGTGCTACATTCATTGTCACACCCGTCACCAAGACATCTGCGTTTTGCGACAAATTTGGAGGTCATGATGGTTAGGTGGTAGCTGCTGCGGTTGTGTATAGCACAAAGTCGCACTTGAGTATTTTGATTGTCTGGGCAAGTGAACGATGTTGGAGTTTGTTCAATAAATTATAGTGCTGGTAGTTTTGAGGGCTTCCCCGCACGTTGTTCCTAGATATACTCCCTGCCATGTTGGGTTGCCTAATGGAGACGGGCAAACTGCCCAGCAGAAGCCGACTTCGGGACACCGAAAAGTTCTCAAAACTACTAGTACCAGGCTCTTGAAGTAGTATTACCACTACTAATCCTAGTGGACAGAGAAAGTACATTGCTGAGGTCGACTAATATAGTGTGCTGTGCCACCTCCGACGGATGTCCGGCGCGACTAAACTCCGCTTTTGTTGGTGATTCCATTGGCTGGAATATAGAATATAACATCCGGCTGTATGTACCAAGTTGTACACTATATCTTACTCCAATTTCATTATGCATTTGAATTCCAGCATAACTCCGTTCTGAGAAATGGTATTCACGTGGAATATCGCTGCTAGGCCTAGGGCTCCGATCCCCCGGATTGACTGTTAATCCGCAGTGTGGTCCCGTGGTTGTATTTGCGGCGAGTGGGGCGGCGCTAATCCTAAAGTAGATCGGGGATGACTAGACTCAAGACAAAGAAATCGAATGTCAGCATTGTCTTTTTTCCTTCTCTTCCACCATCAGACCACTATTATCGCGTCACAGTTGATGTCAGTATCGCGCCTTGAGATTGCAACATGGGATCAAAAAGCCCCGAAGGCCATCAGCAGACTCCTGATGGTACGACACCTGCGAAGCTTTAAGAAGCTCCCTTCTGACCTGTCTGCGTCATTTAGCCTCCAACTCGTCCGAGTTCAAGCCTGCCAATCCCAACCCCAAGCCTTCCCGCAATGGCTCCCAGTCGGCCGATTTGGACGGCGGAAATCTCGGCGATGACGATGACGATGACGGTGAAGCGAACGAAGAAGTGGAAGTGAAGACCTCCGCTGCCAGTTCTGGTACGTTCAGAGTACACTCCAATCATGGTAACATCCGCATTCCTGACAATGTACTACTTATAGACAAGAAAAAGAAACGCAAGAGGTCCAAGAAGAAGACCAAAAAAGCAACCCTGCCACTCAAGCAATCGAATCCTCCCCGTGTGCTGGTTTCGACTCTCTTCCCATCGGGATATCCCATTGGGGAGTGCGTGCCTTACAAGGACGATAATACCTCTCGCACTACGGACGAGGAATTGCGTTACAACTCACGTCTTTGGGATAAGGGTTTTCTTGACGAGTACCGTCAAGCCGCCGAGATCCATCGTCAGGTTCGCCAGTACGCCCAGAATGAGCTCATCAAACCCGGCGCGAGTCTCACTACAATTGCTGAGGGTATTGAGGACGGGGTCCGCGCCTTGTCTGGCCATCAGGGACTTGAACCCGGAGACGGTTTCAAGGCGGGAATGGGGTTTCCTACTGGATTGTGCTTGAACAATGTTGCAGCCCATTGGACGCCCAACCCTGGTGCCAAGGATGTATTTTTGGATAAGGGTGACGTGCTTAAAGTTGATTTTGGCGTTCATGTCAACGGCCGTATCGTCGACTCGGCTTTCACTGTGGCTTTCGACCACACGTACGACAACCTACTGACGGCTGTGAAGGAGGCGACAAATACTGGCATCATGGTACGTTTTCCTTCCATGTACGATATTCTGGATACATAGCTAACTTCAACAGCATGCTGGCATTGACGCCCGAGTGAGTGAAATCGGCGCGGCGATCCAGGAAGTCATGGAAAGCTACGAGGTCGAAATCGCCGGAAAGACCCACCCTGTGAAAGCCATCCGGAATATTACCGGGCATGATATCCTTCAGTATAATATTCATGGTGGCAAACAGGTCCCGTTCATCAAGAACAACAGGCCGGACAAGATGGAGGAGGGTGAAGTCTTCGCCATCGAAACATTTGGAAGTACCGGCAGAGGCGTTCTTCACGATGATGTAGGTCTCTGTTCGTTCGATGTGTTTAGCAATACTAATGCTCCTCAGGTGGGCGTCTATGGCTACGGAAGAAATACTGATGTCTCCGGTGCAAACCTGCGTCTTTCCTCTGCCAAGAATCTTCTCAAGACTATCGACGCCAACTTTGGAAGCCTTGTCTTCTGTCGTCGCTACCTTGAGCGTCTCGGGGTGGAGAAATACCATCTCGGGGTAAGTAATGATGCAACTTACATGTCAAATAATTTCTGACTCATTATGCAGATGAGACATTTGATCGACAATGGGATTGTCGAATATTACGAGCCGCTTGTTGATGTGAAGGGTTCATACACGGCTCAGTTTGAACACGTAAGAGCTCCCCGCTAAATATTATCAGCTAAAGCCTAATAATTTCCAGACTATCCTGCTCCACAGTGGTGGAAAGGAAGTGATTAGCCGTGGTGATGACTACTGAGCATTTAGCCTCAATTCAGGCTATATATTTGTCGTGACTAACTCAGGTCATGGCTCGGTCTGCTTGTTGGCTCATTCTTACATTGTGTACAGTCGCTATCTGCAACTGTGCAGCCTGCTCTCCGTCATGAGGCAGACATCTCTGCACTCTTCAGGATTTCATAAGAAGGTCTGAGTGTATTTGTTCCTTGTGACATGTCTCTCTTTTCAGGCCCATATTGTTTTACCATCTAGCTACTGAATATAAGTTCAGTGCATCATATGATTCTGTTATCCAGGCCGTTCTCATCAATTGTAAACCTTCCGGATCGGTTTCTTACTTCCATTGCCCACGTAACATACGCCACAACGCCATGCATGTCTAGCGCTGTCTTGGGCTTACTCGAGCCATGGCTTCTTGAGACTGCATTGCGAGTGCTGGATCTAACCAATGAGGTTGTAGTTGAATGCGCATTACCTTGAGCTGTACTATATGGCGTGATCGTACGTCAAGAAATGCTTGCCGGATCAACAATGTTGGTAGTTGCGATACATGATGATATTATCTTCACATTACAGTGATGCGTCAAGCATGTTTTATGCCAGAAGTCAACGCCAGGGGACAGACCAATTGACAACCGGTTTGGGAAAGAAAGAAATGATCAGAAACAGATGAGCATATCTAGCGAGCGGCTTCTCATTGCTGGACGTCCTTGGAGGTCTAGCTGGTACAACTGTGGTTACTATAGGCCAATGGGGATCCCAAGTAATATCCTGCCATGGTGGCCTTTTTGTTGAGGAAATCCGTGAGAAATGAAAGGCTCAATGATGCTGAAAGAGTATTATCAGAGGACGACTGGCAAATTAGCGCCAGCCTTGCTACCCCGCGCCAGCTGTCCAACACCACATCGCACCTTCCTCTATCACTGATACCGTACGTGAGGTAGAGAACCCAAACATGTCATCCGAAAAGTCTAACCTTCAAGGAGAGCATGTCGCACGGGTTGTCTGGGCAGCGCATATTCTCGCATATCTTAATAAAGGAAGAAGCCATGCGCAGGTCGAGAAGGACGAAGATGACGTTGCCAGTGATGCAGACAGTGAGATTGAGACTGAAGTGGCAGTTGACGACGAGACGGACACTGCCACAGCAATAGCCGTAGCTCTATCTGCGTCGAGAGAGTCTGTTTTGCGGAAGTTTCTGGACTGCGTTTGCCAGCTGCTGTCGCCGTCCAAGGGGTGGGAAGGGGTTACTGCAGCTTCAATGCGCGAAAGCAGCGGCAGTGTTTTTGTGGAAGTTGCACGAAATGATGGATTCGGTTCGGATTGCGGTATCTTTGATCCTGCAACACTCGAGTATTGCCGGATGCTGGAAGAGTATTTGACCTCTTGTGTCAGTACTGAAGGTATGCTTCTGGGGAGGGATATAGTTTGACGCAGTCATGACTAACTGGATGTGACTGCTGACCAGAGCCAACTATCACAACAAAATCCTTGACGGAATTTGAGGCCGCTTCGATCAACTACACCGCTAGTCGAGTTGACTACTGGATTTCTGCCTGTCGAAGAACATACGCAAATCGTCATATTGACACGGATTGGAATCCGCAGACATGGCCTGGACGTGAGTCGGCAGCTCAAATCTGGAAAACGATGGCTGTTCTTTTGCTGCGCTTTGAGAGCAAGAGAATAACCCCAGATTGCAGGACTATTTTGGTGCAAGGGGCTTACAGCTGCGTCAGTTCACCAGAAGTGCACCACTTACTCTTAGATGCACTTGGCCCGAAAGTTGGCTCACGGCTTTGGGTGTGTTTGAGATTCGTTGCCAGGCCTTTGACGGACTGTCAGCGTTTGCGGGAAATCTCTCTTTGGGAGTCAGATCTCCGACATGCTCGAATTTCCCTAGTACCTTCCGCGCCAAAGACGACACTGCAAAAGGAACACGTGGTTGATATTGCCACAGCTTGGGAGCTACTGGATCTTGGGATTGCAACCGAACCAGTCATCGAGTTGCTTAATCCCTATAGACATGTGTTCAAACAGGCCTGTGCCAAGTCTCTCTCATTGCATGCTGAGATGCAGCTCATATGTTATCAAGAAGAGTGCCGTGGACCACGGAGAATGTTGCAATACTTTGGGTGTAGCAAGAAGTCATGTCTTCTATGTGAAACGTTCCTGGCTGCGATGCACAATCCGATTGAGACCCGGGGTAGGCATTGCGTGTGTTATCCGGCCTGGGGAGTTCCGTGCTTAATCTCAGATGCTGTATATCTCGCTGCCACCGAATTAGGAAACAACCTTGTGAACCGCATCAGAGGTTCATTCAACAGAATAATCCGACCGGGGGGGACAGCGGCCTTACCAGACGTCATGCAATCGGACTTTGTGTCGGACTTCTCGAAACTTACGTTGGAAGAGTGGCGACAGAGGCAGAGAATGGTAGACTTAGCTCAGGCGGAACAAAGCACGAACTGGACAAAACTGCAACTTATGTGAGGCAACCCTGTTGTTTTGTGAAGTATACGCGACTGGATAACTGAAAATAACATGCCGCAGTGAGGGCAAGGGTAAAGGCTTACACACCAGGACTCGCCCACACCCAAACTTTGAGCCTGATGACTGTTGCCTGATGTGTAATACAACGCCAGCCCGGCCATGCGGGCGCTGTCGCAGCATACATTATTGTTCAAAGGATTGCCAAGAGAGCGATTCTTCTTCCCACAATTTGCTTTGCAAGAAGTTTGCTACCCTACCTGAACGTCCATCACCAGAGCACAAGCGAGCCATTCTCTTCCCAGTGGACAAAACAGAGCCTGATCTGATTTGGGTCCCTACAGAGCGCCGATACGATGAAGAGTGCAGGGTGTGGTGGACAAAGGCGCTGGTATGTTCATACCTTGGTCCTGGTTCACCGATTACAGGAAGATTGCATGTCGTACACAACGAGGTACGAGGGCGAAAGTTAGGGTCCGGTATGTTTGATTACTGTGTTATTCTGCTGCATCGCGAGGCATATTTATTTGACGGTTCGCCCTCAAATAAAAGCATACTGGCTTCCGTAAGGGCCTCCGGCGCCGCGAGTCCTCCCCATGCATACAATGGCCCGATGGTTGCAATGCGGGAGGTCCACCCAGAAAGTTATGCCGATATACAACTCTCTGATTTTCGGCATCCGATGGACTACCTAATAACGTATGCAAGCACGGATGTCAGGGAATCCGTTCCGGATCTGCAGTATCGGGCTCCCACGGTTGTTCGGGGCGTGAAGATCTGCTGCGATGGGGAGATAAAGCTTCACGGATCGGAGCCGTTCGTTTCAATCGACTTGAAACGCTCAACCAGGCATCTCCTTTCTGTTACCCAGGGTAATTCTCATTCGTCGATTTCCGCTCTCCTCGGCATACCGCTCATCTTCTGGAAAGACCCAGACGCTGAATTTCATGTTAACCCGCCTGGCTGGGATGCAACACAGTGGGCAAGCAGCAGTCAGAATGCGGCATTCATGATGATGAGAACCAACCCTTCTGATCCTTCATGGGGATGGGCTCCTCTGTATTGGAACCACGATATTGGAAATGTGTGGATTGTCCGTGAAGACGGGCAGGATCTGGATGTGCGTGAAGTAGCGATGATGTGCCACTTCGCCAGATTCAAGCTTCAACGAATGTTTGAAGATGCGATGGAATTAGAAGTCTCCACAATTGAGGATAGAGAGCGCGTTTTGAAATATATTACGCGCGAAAACATGCGAGCGTTTTGGGAGGAGACTGGTGGTGATGAGGCGGACAGAAGCCATGATGATGTGAGCGATTGATCTGTTACTGCTTGGATCTCAGTTCTTACAGGGTTTTGAGTGGATAAAAATCCCAGAATCAAGCATCTTATATCGTATGAATCTTGGCCACCTAGTCTTTCTCTCCAAATATGTATTATTGACATGATTATGCATAACCCGACTCTAACGGGTTTGGGGCAGATCAAAAATCCTTATTTAAGGCAAGAATTACGGAATGACCTACCTGCCTATTGCCAAATCCTTTTTTAAGATACGAATTGGACTTGTTACAATCGGAGCCGAGATATCCAGGCGTAGAATCTCCCTAGTTGATGCTGTTGTCAGCCAACAGGCTAGAGTAGCAGTAAGTCAATCTAGAGCCAAGAGTTGAAGCTCAGATATAGTGGCTCGCCGTTAGGCTTTAGTGGGGATGCGGAATATGTGTTTTTTTTCACTGCTCTACACTAACTATTGTGAATTGAAATGGTTTTGCTCTTATCTGTATGAGTAATTCTGTTGCCTCTTGGTGAACTTTGCTGTAGCTGGGTCCATCGCATTTAAAGTTAGGCATCTGGGTCAGTGCCATGGAATATATCGTCTCATGCACAGAATATCATCGCGGCCGCGTTGAGGTAAACCATATTGATTCTTCCGGACCCAATACTATTACTTTGATGGGCATACTGAGTTGTTAGGCGACTTCTATCTTACTGGGGGTCATGAGGTGCTAGAAACTGGAGGGATGAGGCTGATATTAGGTATAAAATTGCGAGCTGCACAGCCTGTTTGAGGGAAGTCCGATGGTATTCGTATTCGTAGAGTTGATGCGCGGAGATAGAGCGCCCGGCAACTTTCGTTGGATCCTCGGTTGACGAGCTGGTACTTAAGTACTATGGCAGTTTGCGATACGCATGACTGTATACGCTGCCCATCACCCAGCCAGCAAAGACAGTGATATTTGATGAGGTCAATGTAAATGAGCTTCCCTTTTTGGATGACTTCTCCACAGACTCATGCCAATTCACGGAGAATTTGCCTGTCGGGGGTCGAGGCCGAAAACGTGCTGCTAGTGAAATCCCAAATTGGGCAGCGATAACGGCCTCAGAGGACTTATAAAAAGGCTCCTATAGGGACGGAATATCATGTCAATTACGAGGCGGGCGTGGGGTGAGAGGGGTTACTGCAATGCGACTGACTCGTAAGACGCCTTAAGTCGATGCGGCATTCTCACCTCCCGAACACCTTGACTCCCCATCCTCCGTGAACCGTCTGACCACCAGGATTTGCTGCCAGACTATCAACCTCACCTTCATTCCATGAATTTTCTCACACAATTGAGTGAATGGTCTTCCAGGAACTGTCAGTCATGGGTCGATGAGTCTAATACCAAGGTACGTCCAGTCCTAAAGGTACCCAGCTACCATCGATGACCGTTTTTTCCGGGCTCAAGCCTCGCGCGGCAGGCTAGCCTTATGCCTAGGATCCTAAATGGCCATGACGGCTCCACATGCCGCCCGTCATGGCTATTGTTTCTCCACAACAGACAACGAAGGAAGGCTCTTCATAGGTGTAACTGTCGAGCCGTTAGACCGGTCTCTAGCCGAGAGACACCAGGAATTAGCTGCAGGTCTTGCCTTCCAGCCCACTGGCTGCTCAATCTCCAGTCGTAAAACTTGCAACCTGGTCTTGGGAGTTGGGACAGAAAACAGGTTAAATATGGGGGCCCTCTGTCGTCTTGAGCTTCTTTGCAACTTTCACAATTCCGAACGTGGGCAGACGTAGTAGAACCGAACATGTCGCGCCAAGTTGACCGGATGGCTGAGCCAGCCGACAAAAAGAAGATGCGGCTCGTTGTAGCCAGCTGCAGCAGGTAATGAGTCTCCTGTCAGCGTGAGATGCAGACAGGCATGTCCTGGTAGCAAGACGAAGATCTTTCGGACTAACGGATGTCGATAACAGAACGGGTACTCTGGGTCTTCATGAAGCCCTGGAAATGCTTGGGTATACACCATATCACATGATCGACCTGATGCTCAAGGGTAGGAAGCCTCACATCAAGGCTTTCACAGAGGGCATCCTAGCTCATAATAATCGATTCTCTGGTATCAAGAGATATGAGACGCCAGACCTTGATCGATGGATAGGAAGTTTCGACGCATGTTGACCTTAAAATCCGCTATTTATTTACAGCCGGGTGCTGACTTCCAGGTGTATTAGTGCTTGATGGAAATACCAAGCTATATTGGACTCCGAGCTCTGGCCGGTTATATTGAAGACCCGGACGTCAAATTTATCGTGACTGAGCGCTCGCCTGACAAATGGGTCAAGTCGTTCAACAACACAATTGGAGAAGCGATCATGGCAGGCCACAAATTTCCACTGAACATCTTGAGGCGCTTTGACTCGGAAGTGGGTCAGTTTTTCAATCTGGCCGATGTAATGTACTGGGCATATTCTGACGGCACGAACCCCGGCCATCCGAACAACGAGGCGGCTCTTCGGAAGAACTATGTCGAATAGTGAGTTTCGCTATTCGCTTTCACGGTGATAACTGGCTGATTATAAGCAATAGCATCCGGGGAGTGAAGGAAACACTGCCAAAGGATAGACTTCTTGTGGTCCGACTTGAGGATGGACTGGGCTGGGACGAGATCTGTCCATTCTTAGACGTGCCCATTCCCGAAGAGAAGTACCCTCGAGGCAATGAGCCAGGCAAGTTCCATAAGATCATTGAAGATTATTTGGAGCCAAAATTGAAGGCTGCTATGATCAATCTAGGCACATTTGTAGTCACAGTCGCCGGGATAGGTGGCTACTTGGGTTGGAGGTATTATCGCGGCCATTAGGATCATCAGCGCTCCCTTCAGGAGCTTCATAGGGATAAAACAATGGCATCGACCGTGAGATTCAGATGCTCACTTGGCTGTGGGGAATAGTTAGGTTTTATAAATGCGATCTTAGCGCGATGGCGTGATTTGGCTGCAATTTGGCTCATCGAGCCCCGACCGAAGGATGATCGAGTCCACAAACGACACCTGCCTCACGAGGAGGACGATATATCGCTGAATTCGCGAGACATAAATCATGTTATTGACTATTGTGTATATACACACATTGGTTTCCGAGTAAGACGAGTCGTGTGGTAGGGTCATCCCTGGGGCAGATACGGATACCATTCAGACGCGACACTATCGTAGTCTTTTCCCACAGTGCCTGGAATTATAAGAAAGAAGAGTACTGCAGAAAATCTAAACGTAATATGGGATAAGACGCAAACAGTTCAGTCGGGTACTTTTATGAGCGGCAAGGTCAATTTTGTGGGACTCTAAGTGTATGGGGTAAGCTTCACGAAGATAGAAGGTGGAGAGATGCTATGATTCTACTTTGTATACCTCAGGCCTCCACTTTCCCAACCCCAACCCCCAGCCTTCTTGTGTCCACTCCAACCATCAACAACCATCACTTCAGTCGCATTGATTCACCAAGAACATCGCTGATAGGGGCTAATGTGATGGCCGCAACAGCTTACGATGGAAGTGCAACAGTACTCCGGGGTGGCCATCTTGTCGCTTCCATTGTGAGTATGCAGTATCAGAGATCAGAAGCAATCTGCACCCTGGAAGAAATCCAGATTGACGGATGAAATTCAGTACGCTGATTCCAGGCAACAGGAATTAGTTCCCGATCACGAGCCACAGTGTTGAAGCTGTTAGAGAGGCGTGTTAGGCAGAGGAATAAGAGGTCTATGGTAAGATTCCATTTCCTTCAGACCCTTGGTAAGAATTTGGTCTTCCAGGATCCTAGTCAATTCCCTCCACTGATTCAAACAGAGGTTCATAATCATCAATTCAATATTGAATATCCAACTGGAAGAGTGCTTATCCGTACGCATACCACTGACATCATCCCGAGGGTTCCTAGCCGACCCGCATTTGCGATCTTAGTACTGAAGAAGTATCCGCGGCAAGCCGATCGATCAATAGGCTTTAATAATAAATTCTTATCGCAGAGATACCCCTCCTAGCCTCTCCTAACCTCTCAATAATACTCCATATAGGCACCAGGTTCTGTACACATCTCTCGCTTCGATGCTATAACACCGGGAGGGAAAGACCATCAGGACACTATGCCCTCGTTTACCCTCGCCAGCCAAACTCCTCATCTGATAATACAGCCTTCCGACGCTGCTCTCTCCCCACCTGAGAGCTACCTGTTCGTTCAGGATGGTCTTATAATTAGTTGTGGAATTCTCTACGCCTTCTGTTACATATTTTGCATGATTCGCACGTACAGTGACCGGACATACCCGTCTGCGTCAGCTAAGGGGATCCAATTCATGAGTCTGACACTTGCCTACGAACTCTTCTACGCGGTGGTGACCACAACCACCACCTTTGAGCTCCTTGCATTCCTGGCTTGGTTTCTACTTGATGTAGGATTTGTCGCAGTGGCAATCTGGCGAGCACACGAAAAGCGCGACCGGGCGTGGTTAGTACGGAGAATAGTTGGCTTCGTACTGGTGGGAATGGGCGTGCTGAAGGGGTTGACGATGCTGTGGCCCGATGAAAGGGAGCAGGTCACAGCATACTGGACGGGAATTCTGCTACAGATGCCGATCGGCTGGATCTGTTTGGCGACGCTGTGGAAGGAGTGGAATACGAAGGGTCATTCGTTGGAAATCTGGTATGCGGTTCGCAATTGCCTGCTTGCGTTTTACACCGCTATGGGAGATGCTGACGGGGATACTAGGCTCATGCGATACTTGGGCTGCTATACAGCCTACGGGGTTTTCTTCTGGAGGTATTGGAATGTGCCACAAAACTGGGAATATGTGGCGTCGGTGTGGAGTACAGGGATTATTTTGTGGACACTGCTGCCTGAAACGGTCTATCCGTTTGTATACGTTTGGGTGCATTGCACATCCAAACTAAAAGGCGAGTAGACATACTTGACTGGGTTCTAGACATATTAGTTAGATAGCGGTAGAGGTTGAGGAGAGGATATACAGATAACATTGAGGAATAACTACTATATACGAATCAACCAACTTTTCGGTGCAAAATCCATGAAATTCACAG